TCCAACGAGACTATCATTAGGCCTACAGAGAGCCCACATGATGATGTCTTTATGGAACACCACATGAAGTTGGTTGGTTGGTGTTTAACACCACTCTCGGCAATATTCCAACAACCCATGCTTGTCGTAAGAGGTGACTAACACGATTGGGTGGTCAGGCTTGCTGACTTGGTTGACACATGTCATCGTGTCCAAATTGAGTAGATTGATGCTCATGCTGTTGATCACTGGACTGTCGGGTCCAGACTCTATTGCTTACAGACTGCCGCCATACAGCTGGAATATTGCTGAGCGTAGTGTTACTAGTCAAGCCACATTGTCTTGATAAAACCTTGAAACAGGATCATCATATGGCAACAGGTATCATACATGAGTCAACATATTGCAGAACATTACATCAAATATTTCTTGTATATTTATTACAAGTTATGCATTACAATTTACATGAACAACCCTCATAACAAATTCACAATGTCGCCATACAGATAACAAGAAGACGCACAACTGAATAGTTAGCGTCTTATCAAGGATTTAACTGGACCTGTCTGGGGGCCAATATTTGACCCAGAGTCTGCAGTTAATTCTGTAAAATTACCCAAACTAGAACTACACATTTCCAATTCATGCTGTTACAGTGTTTTTGTTTTTACAGATTTTTATTATCATTCGTCAATTGTCCATTAAAAGTGAATAAAAGGATCGTCATGATTTTTTTTTTTATCCTGTGCCATTATTCAATAGTTTTCTGTATATCTGAGTGTATTTGGAAATATTTTAGTTAGCAGTGATCAATACATTTAGGTATGCAGAATGACCATGAGATTGGCATTTGAATAAAAAACCACTTCAATTCAGAGTCAAGAATTTATATCCTGCTATAATATACTGAGTCAAAAAAGAAACTTCACAAAATGTAATTTGAAAAATAATGAATAATTTTTCTCTGATGATACATCTATGTATCCGAAATGGGATCCCTATCTTTCAACTCTAGAAAAACGTTAGCAAAACCCACTCAAACCCATCCATTCGTCGTGCAAATGACGTTAGTGCCAAATCAGGTTTTGCACGTGCAGTCGATCACGTGATCTTTTGATCGAAGTTTTCTTCATATGCGTGTTTGTGTTTGCACTTTTTGGCCTCTAAGAATTGAAAATGCCACACAAATGTGCAACGTGAAAACCACAGTTCTAAGCGGGAAGATACAGTTATTGAAATGCCAATGGATGCAGCCGTCAAATGTGCATGACTTGCGAGGTCGTCTACAACAAACTGGCACCACTGGCATGTTGCACGTGTGACGTCACGAAGAAGACCGTCAAAGTTACGTCACGTACGTGACAGATTTGGAATCAACTGTCCTCACAGACCATTCGAAATCGGTTGCGGGCTCGCCAATCTCCATTCTCGACGTCCATATCGTGGGCCAATATTGACGTCAACACCTGCTGTGGGCCCAACGTCACCTCCGATGGACCCAGACAGACTGGAATCGAGTCGTCTTTAGCGATGAATCCAGGTTTACCCTCAGATTCGCGGACGGCAGGCATAGAGTCTGGAGACGACGTCGTGAACGGTATGCCCAATGTTGTGTACAGGGAGTCGACAGATTCGGGGGCGGAAGTTGCATGGTTTGGGGTGCTTTCTGTGGGAACAACCGTTCCCGACTTCTGGCCATCCGTGGAAACCTCACAGCTGCTGCTTACCGCGACCAGGTGCTCACCCCGAACTCATTCCTTTCATGGCAGCTCATGGCCCAAGTCTACAGTTCCAGCATGATAATGCTCGGCCGCATACTGCGATGTTGACACAAAATTTCCTTCAAAACGCTGGAATCAACGTCATGGACTGGCCATCGAGGTCCCCTGACATTAATCCAATAGAGCAAGTTTGGGATGCACTTGGGAGAAGGCTTCGTGGTCTTAGGAACCAACCTCAGAATTTGCAGGAACTTGGCGCTGCCTTGCAAGAGCAATGGCGCAGAATCCCCAACCACGTGTTCACAAGCATCAGGCAGTTGATGAGGAGATGGTGTTTGTAAGTGGTGAATGCACGGGGCGGCCATACACGATATTGAACTGAGAAATTTCGCATTTTTATTCTTGTGACTTGACATTCTGTATACCCATGTTTTGGAACGGCGAGTGTAGCCTAATGGAACTGATTATGGCACTGTCAGTGTATCGAGTACATCACACAGATCTCAGCAATGAAATAATAACAATTTAACCATCTTACCATCTCTTGTTCTTTTATAGTGCCCTGAAGAAAGAATGTGAAGTTTCTTTTTTGACTCAGTATATAAACTGGCGGACAACTTGTACACAAGGTGATTTGTAACTCACAATCAAAGCACTTTCAAAATAGTTTTCAAAATAATCCTAAGTATTGTTCATGAGTTTATACTTCCCACACTGGGTAATGATAATATTGGTCATTCATATAAGAACTACATAGGTGAAAGTAAAGTGGGAGGAGAAGTCAATGTGACACCAGACATAATCCAATCATTTATCAACATACTTAAAAACTTCTTTAAGTGGTATGTTTAGAAGTTGGAGAATCAGATAAGGACAAAGGTTTATGGATGAACAACTTCTTTATTCGGATGATGTGACGTTTCGATACAGATACTTGCTTGACAACGATACAAGCCTCTGTATCGAAACGTCGCATCATCCGAATAAAGAAGTTGTTCATCCATAAACTTTTGTCCTTATACTTAAAAAAACATACATAGATATATAGAGGATATTTTATGAGTGCCCATGTCATACAATGTTTACGACACGAGTGCCTAAATGTTGGTATTTCCCGAGTGAGGGATATACCGATATTTAGGCAAGAGAGTCGTAAACATAGTATGATATGGGCACTCATATAATATTCTGTTTATTACCGAAGTCGTGAAATTGAGGAAAATAACCCAAATCTACTTTCAAACATAGGCTGTCTACCCGCCGTCGCCGCATATAGAACGCAACGTCACAGAAGAAACGTGACGTCATAGCATTGTTCATGACGTCACATCCACATGACAAAGTGCCCTAGGGCATCGTATGAAAAAATATGAACCCCGATATGTTCGCCCTCGTAGGTAATAAATAATAAAACCCAGACAACAGACAGGATCATAATTACACAAACATTAACTAACTGTTTGAATATTACTTCATCAAATGCATTGAGTGTTATATTTGGTTGGACTCACACTCTCACAAAGAAACAGGATTTTCCTCTCGAAAATTGGAATTATTATTCCAGCAGCAACCCAAGTTTTAATGTACTACAGAGACTTGACCTTTCCTGTGTACTGGTGTGATCAGCCTGTACTGATGGAAGACAGGACATTAAATTGCATTAAGAATGATTAACCTATAGCTTATGTCACTTCTAATAAAGAGCTGATTATGTAAGCTGTTGGATTATACCTCTAGGAACATAAGTTAACACAGTGTTTGTTTTTCTGTCCACATAGCAATGGCTCATGGTACACAAACAAGAGCCCATGGCAAGAAATTTGGCAAGAAAGATGTAACTTGTTCAAAATTGGGATTTTACAAAAATTACAATACATTCGACTAAAGCACTTCAGCCTGATCCTCTTTACTAGTCACGATATAAGTAAAGTACTAGTCTACCTGACCAGTTAGACCAAGCCATCACATTGGGTATAACTGTAACTTAACATATCAACAAGCAATGAAATATTTTTAATTCCAATGTGAGATATTCACTGGCATTTGCTGCTTACCTGGGTCTAAACAGTGTCTGATTTGTTAATTTGTTTACGAAGGAACATTCCATATATTTGATGGAGGTCTCCATATAAATGCTGGACAAGACAATCAAGCAATGGGCATGAGCATCACCTACACAACTGGTTTAAAATGACATGCATACACCAAGTAAATGAGCTTGACCCCATTGCAAAAAGCGATCTTAGCGTTAAGGTAATCGTAACTCACATACTAAAACATACGCTCACAATCATTGTTGAGTAAGATGAGTTTGTTTTATCTGTTTTGTTGTTTGTTGTTTAATGCCACACTCAGCAGTATTCCTGATATACAACCGCAGTGTGTAAATAATCAAATCTAGACCAGACAGTCCAGTGATCAACAGCATTAGCACAAATCAAAGCAGTTGGGATACGATGACATGTGTCAAACAAGTTAGCAAGCCCGACGTCCCGATCCCGTTAGTCGCCTCTTACAACAAGCATGGGTTGCTGAAGATCAATTTTAACACTGATCTTCAAGGGTAAAGATGAGTTTGTGCAATGGGACCTTGATCATGTGAATCACTTCACACAACAAGCATGTGACAATCTATACCCAGACCTTCACAGGTACCAGTCTCCAGGCAGGTCCAGCTAATTCCCTAAGAGGATAAGCAAATCCTTTTCCCAAACAGATGAACCTAACTTGCTTGTTGCCATGATAGCTAGGACACTTTGTCGAGCCGCACACCAGTTAATTGAAAAATGTCAAATGTCAATGTTTGTTTGTTGCTATATAACAGCGGTCTGTAAATAATCGAAGAAGGATGACAGGTACATATTTGTTTAATCCTGTTCATCAATATTCCAGCCATATGATTGTAGTCTGTAAGAAATCAAATCTAGACCAGACAATCCAGTGATCAACAGCATGAGCATCGATCTATGCAGCTGGGATACAATGACATTTGTCAACCAAGTCAGTGAGCTTTACCACCCAATCCCGTTAGTCGCCTCTTACAACAAATGTCAATGATTAAAAGTACTTTTACATATAAGGTAACAATACATTACATATGGTTGAGAACTCTTCACACTTATAAGCATTTACCAATATGACCCCATAACAATATATTGCACACTGACACACTTCTCCATCTAATGAAGAATTGATAAATCATGTAGATTTTAAAAACATTTTTCTTGGAAAAAGTTAAATATTCTGAATACAAAGCACAGTAAAATCTTTAACAACAGGCAATCCTAAAAGGTCAGCCAATAAGAACAGCAGGATTTAATCTGATGAAAAACAGAGAGCAGAACACAAGGCTTTAAGCCTCTACTAACAAGAATTCAATCCAAAAGTACTCAAAACAATTATAATTTATGCAACATGTTCAAAAATAATGTTTGTGAGGATTGAAATCTGAAGCACTAAATCACACATGCATCTTTACCATAACATTTCATTTGTATTCCACTGAACAACGAAAACGTGTTGCAATATTATTATTATAGCAATTATGAGCCGTAAATCACACTTTGACACATATATCTTGATCACGATAATATTTCATTTGTATTCCATTGAACAACAAAAAGGTTGTGCAACATGAATTATAAAGCAATTATGAGCTGTAAATTACACTTTGAGACATGTATTTATACCATGATAATATTTCATTTGTATTGCATTTTACAACAAAAATGTTGTGCAATAATCGTAAAGCAATATTAAACTCTACAACACACTTTCACACATACATCTTTACCATAATAATATTTCATTTATTTTATATATCATTGAAAAACAAAACTGTTGTGCAATATGAATTATGAAGCAATATTGAATTATCCAGCAACAATGTGCACCAAACACCCGAGTTTTTACCTTGTTAACAAGTAACTTGCATTCCATTTTATCGTATCAAGTATACGATTATTATCAATCAAGCAAGTGCTCTAAACCACATATTGTCATCTGAATCTTTAAAATATTAACAAGCCCCTTGTATTCCATCGTACAATGAAAGTGTTGTGCACTATGGATGGTTGGTTTGTTGTTTAATGCCGCACTCAGCAATATTCCAGCTATATGGTGGCAGTATGTAAATAATCAAATCTGCACCAAACAATCCAGTGATCAACAGCATGAGCATCGGTATACGCAATTGGGATACTATGACATGTGTCAACCAAGCAAGCCTACTACCCGATCCCATAAGTTGCCTCTATCGATAAGCATGGGTTGCTGAAGACCAATTCTAACCCAGATCTTCACGGATATTGTGCACTATGAATTATTAATCAGCCATGTTGGATGAGGAACTGAGAGTCTCTCCATGGCTTCTCTGGAGACAGGTTCCTGGGGGGCGAAATGTGGCAAGTTAGATAAAGCATGATTTAATGGGTGCACATATGGATGAAAATGTTGAAAGTTTGGGCTAGGGTTTGAAATAACTGATTCTATCTCTGATGGTTTACAAAGCTGATGAGATTGAAATTCATTCTCAGAGTCAGTTTTTGACTTTTGAAGGCAAAGTTTTGAATGTGTACTATCTTCTGTGTCCTCTAAATTTTGCTGAGCTGTTTTGGGTGGAACAGAATCCATTTCCGTTTTTACCTGATTCTCTAATTTGGCTTCACCTGAGTCTTTCTCCACCTGATATTCGGCCATGTCACTCTGATAGAGAAGTGGGGTGAGGGTTGGGAGGGCAGAGAGTCGGCCACACTTTTTCTTGTGGTGAGACAGCTGAGTGTATTGACAGTATGCAGCACCGCACTCACTACAAACATATGGCTTCTCACCCGTGTGAATTCGACGATGTCGCACCAAAGAGCTCCGAAGCGAAAATCGACCTCCACACAAGTCACACATATAGGGTTTCTCTCCTGTGTGGGTGCGTTCATGAGTTGTTCGTTGGCTTGTTTCCGTGAATGATTTTTCACAATAGTGACACTTATAAGGCTTTATTCCATTATGAATTCTCGTGTGATTAGTGAAAGAACTGAGCGAGTTGAAGCTCTTCCCACAAACATCACATTGGTAAGGCCTCTCACCAGTGTGGATACGATAATGCTTTTCCAAAGTTGGGACGGAGGAGAGAAATTTACCACAAGTCTCGCGATCGGAAAACCTGTGAATCCTGCTTCTTCTTCTTCTTTCCTTTTCTTTATCTTTTTCTTGTTTTTTTAGATTTTATGTCCGCTTTCGTTTCTTCTTCTGTGACACAGCTTCTGTCTCTGATTTTCCACCATTATCAACATCCAACCACAAACCATCATCATCATCATCTTCAACATGATCTGAGAAGCCACCTGTATCCTCCAGAAACTTTTACTTCTTCCTTCTTCCCATCATTTTTTCTTCTTCTTAGAATCTTTTTCTTGGCTTCATCTTTCTTTCGAGGTTTAGATGATTTACGCCTGCCTTTAGCATTCCTGCAATGGGATGCTTTTCCTTTCACCTCCTCGCCCCTCCCTCTGGGACTTCCGACTCGATGACCCGTGGTCACACATAAAGCCACATTGGCCTGGATTTGAGATTTCCTTGGAGAACATTTTCTTTTGGGGGCTATTCGAGACAAATTCTTTTTCTCAATAGCTTGGGCTTCTGTTGGTTGGCTCGAGGTCAGACAATGCTGATTTTTGTCCGGTTCCTTCTCCTCAGGTTCTTCTTTCACGTTCACGACCTCCAGGGCAGGTTCTTCGGCTGAAACAAAACTCTTCAATGACACATGACGCTGGCAGGCAAACTAGGAAACAACATATTTTGTTCATTGAAGAGATATTTTTAAGTTCTAATTTTCTTAAATTCATTGTTATTTTTAAATGTTTAAGACTGCATTGAATTCAACGTAACACTAAGCATTAACGTGGGGCTGTAATGATGCATCAGACTATCGATGGATTGCAATTGTTGAGTTTCCGATGGCAATTAATCGATGGTAGAAACCAAAAATCATCAATGCATCGATAGAATGTGTGACTATCGATAGTATAGTAATTGACTTCCGTTGATAAATGTGTAGCTCAAAATACAGGATGTTTGGGTTCAGACTTGCAGCTTCATTGAGTTTATGTTTTAACTGTTTACTTGATCTGGGTTTCAAGTTTCTGGTCAGTTATTAAAAGAGACTGAAACTACTTCAACATGTTTTATTTCATGTAAACTAAACATTCATTTGGGAAATGACTTCAAATGAGACAATTCAAGGAGCAAACCCTACTGCAACAGTATTGTAATAGTTGGTCGCAATAGACGATCGCTATCGCAATAGTTGATTCCCCTCAATAGTCACTCCCTACATTAAAGCACTTTACTTGTCCTCTTACTTGACACACAAGCCACATCTGCAAAACCATGTGTTATAACTTGACAACTGTAATATTTCAATGGCTATAATATATGCCTTTGAAGTTAGAAAATTGACTAAAGGGGAAACATTTTAAATGTTAACAACTAATCGCTTTTTCAGTAAGCAAACATCCATGAAACTTAAATCTTTTTATCACAGTTTCAAGGCTTTTGGTTTTACATTTTTCTAGAAAACATATATAACATAAGTGAAAAAGTAGGATGATCCCTGTTGCCTTGTAGTGGATGTTTGTAAAGATTACTGGGGCTGGTGGGGTAGCCTAGTGGTTAAAGCGTTTGATCGTTGTGCCAAAGACCCTGGTTCGATTCCCAACATGGGCACAATGTGTGAATGTCTGTTGTCTCCCACCATGCTAGTGCTTGAATATTGTTAAAAGCAGCGTAAAACTAAACTCACTCACTCACTATAAAGATTACTTACAGTTTGGTATGGAAATTGGTTGGGGTGAGGTTTTTTGGGTGGTGCTCAATACAGTAACTTGAAAGGGAAGTTGTCATAATGTGAAGTTGTAAATTCTATTTGGAGTTAATAGAGACTTTTGCTACAAACGTTTACCTCTAAGCAGGTGATGATAAATCCCTTGAGATATATTTTCAAACATCTTTGTTTAATAATCCAGCCATGAGGGTCTATAGCTCACTGGAATGATTGTGAAGTAATAAAAATGTAAAATTATACTATGTCAGCAATAGGGCTGCACTGAGCGTATTTAAACAATATGCAATAACATATGCAACTGGGATACATTAGCAAGCATCAACCCCATGCGATCAAATCTGTCGCTGCCTATGACACTGATTGAGTCTAGTTTATGTCACTTTTAGCAATATTCTAGCAATATCACGGTGGGGGACATGAGGAATGTTCCTCACACATTGTACCCATGTGGGGAATTGATATAACCAAGATATTTAGAGTTGAAAACATTATATATACATTTTATAAATATTTAAGGAAAATTTGAAGTCAAGTTAAGAAGGGTGAATGTACTAGGAAAGTGCATTGACCAAGCTAACCAAACTCTTATTGATTCACTTTTCTTGGGGAATAACAATTTCTCTGAATTGAAAGGTTCAAACTGGTGTTTCTACACAATTGGGTGGATAGACATTTGGGATACAGATGGTCAGTTTGGTCAGTTTGTCAATAAAGGGCACGATAGGATCTGAAATGATTTGATTAAGTATCTTTTGGCACCTACCAGTCTGAAATACTAGTAAGATATGTCAATGTTTGGTTGATGTATGGCTTAAGGATACCTAGCAATGTCATTTTATAACTGGAAGAATTTGATGGTACCAAATAAAGTCTCGAAAGGGACTAATGAAAGTAACTAATTATTAAGATTGATATGAGTCATTTTGTATGACGAGGACATTATTTCGGGGAGGAGCCAAAATTGTCAGAGAACAGTTTTGTCACATGTCGGGGAGCAGAAGCTTATTCTGGGCCCAACCGCTTCACTTGTGAGGTTCTCTCTGTATACTGAGAGAATGGCTCAGATGAACTTGTAACTTTAGGAGTTGTACAAGAAACCAACAAGTTCTTCCAGAGTGTTTGTGATCTAATGTTGTGTGTAATTCAGGAGAACTAGGTAGTTTCTGAGAACCTGTGTGTGAGAATTCATTCCAAAATAAATGAACTTGAACACCATACCGGACTTATCTTTGACTATCCATCTTAGCTACATCATCCCCAGAACCAGAGTGGATAGACAGATTGCCTAGGGAGGAAGGGTATAACACCCAAACACCCTCGGGTAACATTGAACCCGGTCTTCGCATGATCGAGCAAACACTTTAACCACTAACCACTAGGTTACCACCCTGCTGCCTATGATAACCATGGGTTGCTGATCTATTCTAACCCACTAACCTCCACTTGAAGGAAGCTTCGATAGGATGGAGAGAATTATGATGTTTTGAGGGGTTAAAATGATACGGCACACTCACACAATAAGATATATATCCCAATGCATATATCGCAACATCAAATTGTTGGGAAACTTCTGACTATAAATACTTCAGAGCAGTTTCTGAGGTAAGAAACCCTAGCTCTAGATGCATGCTCACTATAGCTATTTCTAACAGTAAATATGGAGCTCATATTACTGGTTTTTTTTAGATATCTGACTGATAAAATATGGGATGGGAAGTGTCACTAAACAAGAGCATTTTAGGAGTGTATCGTCTCTACATCAATACAGATAAAAATGCATCATATATCTAATTATTGTCTGCAAACACCACATGTAGGACTACCATCGATGTATCATGTAACATCCGGAAGCCAACCTTGTTTTTTCTGTTCCTCTTTTTCCAGGTACTTCTGCTGCAACTTAAGGTATATTCTTTTCAGCTTGTCGTACTTCTTCTGTAGCTTATCTCGAGCTTCTCTCTCATGGGCAATCTTCTCAAATTCAGCCTCAAAATCAACACAACCTTGGGGAATTGCTTGTTCTTTCTCCGTCTCTTTCGATGTTCCTTTCACTCTGTGTTTCCTGTTGCCATGGTGAGTAGTAGCTTCATCATCCATGACAACGAGGCCCTACAGCTCAACAGCTCAACTTCGCAATCACACACTGAAACAGATTTAATTACATGTACAGTCCGTTTGAGTCAGAAACGGACCGATGAATTGCAAATTTGATCATTGTACAAAATTGCTACATAAATATAAATAGTACACATGTTTATCATTTACTAATACCCAACAGCTTTCTTATATTTGAAAATTTTCCGGACTCCACCAAAACAGTTCTTTAAGAATCTATCATTATAATTTTGACACAGTTCACTATTTGTTATGAGGGAGGAGTGCAGAGAAAGGGACAGCCAGGTGTTAGAGAAGCACGTGCACAAGTGCCCACCAAGTTATTGATTCATTAGCCTGTGCTGTGCCGTCTCCATCCTTTCAAGACACCTGGCTGTCCCTTTCTCTGCACTCCTCCCTCGTGAACAAATAGTGAACTGTGTCAAAATTTTAATGATAGTTTCTTAAAGAACTTTTTTGGTGGAGTCCGGAAAATTTTCAAATATAAGAAAGCTGTTGGGTATTAGTAAATGATAAACATGTGTACTATTTATATTTATGTGGCAATTTTGTACAATGATCAAATTTGCAATTCATCGGTCCGTTTCTGACTCAAATGGACTGTAGAAGGGATGAACATGGTGGTCAACAATAAATGCAACTTATTACACTGGATCTAGCAGAGCAGTGGTGTAGCCTAGTGGTTAAAGTGTTCACTTGTCGTGCCAAGTACCTGAGTTTGATTCCCCATTTTGGGAAAATGTGTAAAGTCCATTTCTGGTGTCACCGTGATATTGCAGGAATATTGCTACAAGCAGTGTAAAACCATACTCACTCACAGCTGATTGGAACTACCGGTTAATAAGAACAACAAAAACTCAACAATAATAATCTATGTGTACGACAACAATAATCTGTGCTCGAGTGCTTAACCTCATTTATTACCTACAAGGGCTTAAAAATATCGGGTTCATACTTTTTATATGATGCCCTAGGGCAAAATATCACTTTGTCATGGTGACGTGACGCCATGAACAATGCTATGACGTCATGTTTCTTCTGTGATGTTGCATTCTACATACGGCAGGTAGCCAGCCTATGTTAGAAAGTAGATTTGGGGTTATTTTTCTCAATTTGACTAACTTGGTAATAAACAGAATATTAAATTCATTATCATACTATGTTTATGACACTCGTGCCTAAATATCGGTATATCCCTCGCTCTCGCTCGGGAAATACCAACATTTAGGCACTCGTGTTGCAAACATAGTATGACATGGGCACTCATAAGTCATATTATATCCTCTATGTATGCAATGTATTTTCAAAGCATATCATTATTATTACACCCGGTCAATTGCTCAGTGTGTTCTCAATTTTTCATACATGCTCCCTGAGGAGTACACAACCAAAGTAGTCTGTGAGGTGCTAGAAGATTGACAGTAACATTATTATCACCTCTTCCTATAGTGCGTTTGGCTCAAAAGCGGACTGATGAATTGCAATCTAACTAAAAAACTAATAAACATATAATACTCAATGAAACGCTGATCATAATCAAAACATCAGACCAACTCTGTGATTTGTTTGCAGAATTTATGTCCTAAAATTTAAAAAGTTGTTTAACAAACTATCATTAAAATATTGACACAGTTCACTATTTGTTATGAGGGAGGAGCGCAGAGAAAGGGACAGCCAGGTGTTAGAGAAGCACGTGCACAAGTGCCGACAAAGTTAACCTGTGCTGTGCCGTCTCCAGCCTTTCTCGCACACCCGGCTGTCCCTTTCTCTGCACTCCTCCCTCGTAACAAATATTGAACTGTGTCAATATTTTAATGATAGTTTGTTAAACAACTTTGTTATTTTTAAGGACATAAATTCTGCAAAAACCTCACAGAGTTGGTCTGACGTTTTCATTATGATCAGCGTTTCATTGAGTATTTTATGTTTATTAGTTTTCGAGTTAGATTGCAATTCATCGGTCCGCTTTTGAGCCAAACGGACTATACCTGGTACTCATTCGCTGCAGGGTGAACAGACACATATTCTAGAAAATCTGCTTTCAAATAAATGATTTCACATTTTAGATTCAACTTGACAAAATGTCTGCACCTTTAGTATTTTATCAACTGACTAAGCATATGAAAAATATGACAACTGACTGAAGGCTCTATATTTTAGTGACTATTTCCTGGGCTGCAACAAATCCACTATCAGGCAAATACGATACACATCACGAATACTGGACGACGAACATGTATACAACAACAAGCCAACAGTTGATGTATTATTCAGTATATTTAGTGAAACAATAAAAATTAGATTATCTGACATGTTTACCATGTTGACAGCAAATTTGAATTTAACATGACAATGAAAAGTGACCAAATTAAATAACATAAAATTAAATAAATAAAACTGTTGACTATTATCCTGACTGGCATTGGTTTATTCACTATATAATTCAGTTCAGCATATTTTGTTTTATAAATAACACACAAATTCAAGTAAAACACTCCTTTATAAAAAAAATCATGAATATTCTATTCAAATTATCGCGCATATTTCGAATAAAGATGCTGAGGGGGTTTCTATGTTGATCAATCTGTACATAACTCCATAAGATACAATACCAAATGTCAACTTCTGACATCAAACTGCTTTGGAAATTGTATTGAAACAGTTCCTTGCTGTGACAGTGTATAAAAACACAACTCCAAATGTATTTGGGTTTCTGGGTACTGTACCAGCTTCCAGTTGCAAGGGAGGTAACTATCAAAAACACAGCCCCAGGTCAACCTACTAAAAAAACATATGTAATTTCGATGAAAGCCAGAGCTCCAGATAAGATTTAGCTCATGTGGGTACTGTACCCACTGTATTTTTTTGAGTGGGTATTATGAATGTTGAGTGGGTATTTCATTTTACTTTACCCACTGCTTTCCAATATATACGTATTTCAGTCATTTTACTCACCTAAGTATTATGTCATTGAGTAAGTTTACTGAGCAGGTATGTTCTGCCTTATGTCATACCTAATCAAAACCAACTTAAATATAATGGAAATGATTTCATAAAAAATCACTCATCCTATACTGACAGCACAACACTAGTCCTATACTAACAGTACAACTTGATAGCAATCGACGTCTTTTTCATTACGCAAGTTTATTTTTATAAATATATTCCTGCACGCATTTGTTTTAAACTTTTACATATCTAACATTTTAAATGCGAATTGGTACGCTAACAATTATTTTCTATCTACAGTATTTTACTCCAGATACGCAGAGCTTATCTGGGCCTCTGGAAAGCTCAAATAAACTGACAGCAGAGCTGATGGATACATGGATATACTCCATTTCGCATATGCCACATTTATAAATAACACCCAAAGTCTAGCAATAAAACACCTTTCTAAAACATTCATGAATATTAAATTCTAACGATGCGAATGCTGAACTGAACCCATGAAGGGTTATGATTTGATTCAACGATCATGTGAGTGCATGCGCAGGTAAGGCGGAGTGCGTGTGTATGGGGTATGCTTGTAATAGTCATGACTTATGGCAATAACCGATATATCATGCCGAAGTATAAACAGGATACCCAATCCAATCCAACTGTGTTGTTTCCCCACAATAACAAGCAAAAGGCAGGGTAACATTAAGTACCATCTTGAAATAACTTTATGAGGGAATGGAAACCACTGACCTTCCACTCTCCAAATGCCCTGTCCACTAGGCCACATCGGCGGTCTTATCATATACAGTGTACAAGTAACTGTGCCTTTGCAAATGCAGAAACCCTTACTATTTACACACTGATGCAGTCACTCCGGCTTTCACTAAGAAAATCAAATCCAGACTCTACCGTTAATTTGAGTCATCAGTTAGTGCAGGAATGTTACAAAAGTATTGTCTTGAAAACCTCTGAAGCAAAAGGTACATTTTTACAGATAACTTTTGTGGTCATTGAGTTATGTACTCGCTTGTGTTAATCTCAATTGGGTATCCTAATTTTCCTTTGAGTAACAGTTACCAAAAGTTATCTGTAGCTCTGGTAACCAAATAAATTGTACCCACCTCACTAAGTTTTTTATCTATCCACCGGTACGCAAGCTAAGATTTGACATTTTTGTGTGTAAGCATGTAAGATCACATTTATTGAGTATTTACATTCAAGCATACTTGTATGCAATAGACTTAACAGGAATTGAGCTTTCACATAAATATTTATGTAATTTACACAGATACACAGCTTAACTGTACCTCTGTTTTTACAAACAAGAATACAATGGGTTCCCTGGCAATAGGATGGATGTAGCTTTCTGGAAACTGAATTTCTATTGGTATAGAAAGCCTCCTAAATATTACCCTACATATCATGCTTTGCAAATACACTGGACAACTTACAAAAATTCTTGTCTCTCTTATAGAACTCAACGCATATTTATAGTATAACAATAACCCCTGCTTTATTCCATCGTTCATCCCCCCCCTCAAATCTATCAGCCTATCCACATCTCATTCTCAGCTTTGGGAAATCAAATGGCTTGAGAACTTGCTCAAAGAATTTATTAGATTATTTCATTTATTTATCTGTATATTCTAGGGATTACATGTTATTGTTTGATGCAAACACTAGCGATGTAAGAAGTGGAATCAACTTGGTCATGAGGGCCATGTACCCATTTTCTTTCATCTACACTTCATTTCGAGGCGTGAGAAGATGCATTATTATTGTGATTGCTGTCAATAATGCAGACTAAAGATCTAAGTATCGGAAGGACACACAATTTCACTGCAATTACCGGTATTATAAACATTCTTGAATGACATTTCCAGTAAAATTAATAAACTACATTACAAAGCAAAGTCTAGATATGCTAAAAACATGTTTTGTTATGAGATAGTTTAACAGCAGGATTTACTTGAGGAATCCTTTACAGATTTGTTGGTACTCTATTTTCGATTACTGATCACATTGAGAAGATGAACAAAGGTTGGTGGTTCGGCTTATGTACGATACATACCCTTTTGGTACTGATTTTAAGGATCAAGTTAGCACCTCAGCTTATCTATGAGATCGGCATATCTACGGTAATATACAGTTGGTAATAGTAACTGGTTTCACTGAGACTGAGTCATGAAACTGGACTTTTATAGTCAGTTAACTCCCTTTCCTCAGGATGTTGAGGCAAACGCTGAACACAGGGCTAGGTTAACCACTTCAAACCGATTGTGTACATTGTGAAAATAGCCTCCCTAGAGAAATGTTTCATGTAGAGCAGAAAACTAGTTGTGATGACTTTTGTCACTCTTGAATAATGTCAATAAGCAACATGTAGAGTATATCTGATATTCTAGTTAGGCTGATAGTATATAAACTTTGCTAGTATAGGTCCGTCTCCTATTCCCACGGGTTTCCTATTCTCGCGGTAAACATGTTTTCTGCCGAAATCGCCGATGCGCGACACTTACCGGTTGTTTACATCACCGACTGGTAACTAGGAAGTGGACCAAGTCTGTAAATGATCAAAATCTTGCAGTGTCACGAATATTGGGGATTTTATACCACCTTGGACATATCATTACTCTTTCCCGCCCTTTCCGGCAGGATTGCTCTTACATACAATCAATAACATTAATTTCTGGTAATACCGCGAGAATGGGAGAAGCCTCATTTCGTCAATGGCGGATCGTATTGTTTATCACCGGGCTCACGAGTGGTAATTCACCTGATGGATCTAGCAGCTGATAGATGTAGATGTTAGAGGAGAAGGCCCTTCATTTAAAAACAACAAGCATTCATACGATAAGAATTGTTTGTGTTATTTTTTCAGCCGAGTACCGCGAGAATAGGAAACGCCTTCCTATCTGCTACTCTGCGTAGGAAACATTTTGTGGTCAGTATATATGGTCAGTTAAATTACATACTCACTAATCAGAGTGCTGAAATGAGCCAGTGAAATAGGCACCATTATCCGATTCAACTGATGGGAGATTGTGTGTAACTTGTGCAAGAAAAAATGTCGCTTCTGTATCTATAGTTGCCGTTAGTCAATTACAAATTTCCTGTTCCATGTTTTATACATAGCTATTTGAAAGCGATGTTCAATAAATATATTACATATTCTAGTATAACCGTATCTTAAAAAGTAGCTTGTGTTAATGAGCTCATAGACTTAACAAACAGCGACAAGGACTGTATTTAGAGGAGTACCCACACCTGATATTCGATTCTCTAGATGACATATGATTCCACGAATGCGTCGTCTGCAAACACTCAGCGCACTTAACACTTTCATTTCATGCGTAAATGAAAGTCATACCTTCCCCAAACGTACCATATGAAGAATTCATTACCTTTGGTTTGAAATATTAATTAGAAACAAACGTCTTGAAAATGACAACTAATAATTCTCACATCTGTTTTCTTTCTTTCACGATTCCAGTCGTCTATCTAAGGGCAGGTAACTCTCGAATCAACCTGGTGGGTTGTAAATGTTGAAGTGTGTTGTGCACGGAAAACGATCACGGCTGTCGGAGACAAAAGACAATGAGGTGGGTATATTCAAGTCGTTCTTATTTGTATTGATCTAGCGAACGTTTTACTCCACAGTGTTGATAATGAAATGCTGTTTGTTCACGTGAATATCTGCCAAATACTAACACTGGTTGATTTTTGTTTCCCGAAACGGCGATCACTTGAAATGCGAATTTGGAGCATTCGTCTATGCTGCCTAATATGGTCCGGGAAGATGGCGAATATATGACCCCTTAATGTGGACATCGGAAACGAATCCATATTGATCAACTTCTGAACGAATAAATGCATGTTTGTGGTGAAGGGTATATTTCGAGTTTGTAAACCCGTGAACAGGGCACAATTTCACAGCTATCGTCTGTTTCATACATTATACATTTGGGCGTTTGTATTGATTTTTCGAATTCTCGTCTGCGCTGACATTGCCTCTCGTGAGACTGTGAACCACTGTTTGTTTGTTGAGGGCTAGGGGGGAGGCATGGGTCTCTAAAAGGAGGGGTCGAGTTTACCACCTCGGCCGCCGTTACTATTTTTAGAAGGCGTGAATATTACAGCTATGGTTGTTATAGAAATGTAAGTGTCGGACAATTAAAACGGATCAGGAACTACGAATTCGCAGACACACTGTCTCGATATTGATCTCTACGGCGACATGTCCAGACCACTCCACGTGGCGAGATTGGCCATAATACGTTTTAGCACAGCGTCATGCATATTCATAAACAAACAAAAAAAACTGTTGCTCATGAGTATGCATGTATTTACTAAATTAATGTCGTGGGAAGGGGACGAAATACAGGTCCATGTGCCCCAAAGTTTTCAAACGTAACGACTATTTGAACACTTTCTTTCAGTGAAGGATTGAATATTGTTTTAATCAGTACATGTATGACCCTAATGTGGGGGCTATTTATCACTGTGGGTATTGATGCTGGGGTATAGGTCCCCATGGACCTGAATGCATGTGAGATACGACCAACAGACAATAGATGGGTATTGACTTGATTGACCACGGCATTTATCGATATCAATCACCGGACCGGCTTTTCACTCCCTACTTGTTTATGGGAGTTTGTTTTTGGGATGTAATATTCCAGAGTGCGGCATTAAACAAAAAAAACCCAACAAAACAAACAAACAAACAAAGCCCCGGATGTTCACTATAATGTTTTGTTTGTTGTTTAACGATGCTCTAAGGAATATTCAAGCTGAATCACGAATGTCTGAAAATAATCGAGTCTGGACCAGACAATCCTGTGATTTATATCATGTGTATTGATCTATGATGATATGCATCAAGGTCTGCGAGCCTGATCCTGTCAATCGTCGCCGAAGACTCTCTAACCCGGATCTTCACGGGTAGACTCTGTAACTTGGTCAAGAAAGAAAAATGTCAACACAGAACAATGAATTGACCACTTGATATTCAATGGGATGCCTGAAATTTAGCGGATCAAATGCACCAGAAAATGCTTTAAAAACACGTTATGTTAAGACTGGTTTTTTTTTGTATGTGTGTTTTTAAACAACATATTGTATTATGCATGCGTTTGAAAATGTAATAACAGGATACTAGTTTGGGTAGCGTTGGGGTAGCCTGGTGGTTAAAGCGTTCGCTCGTCACGCCGAAGACCGGGTTCGATTCCCCACATGGGTACAATGTGTGAAGCCCATTTCTGGTGTCCCCCAGAACATATTGCTGCAATATTGCTAAATGCGGCGTAAAACTAAACTTACAATAATAAACTATAATATCTGGTTCTGCCGATGCAGCTGAAAAATATACTTTGTCAACGACTCGTTTTAAGGAATGTCACATTCTGCTGTCCCACAACATACAAAGAGTACATTTGCATGGAATGATCATGACCAGTCATTATCATATTCATATCACATGCACATGCACATGTTATCTTCAGCATTCATTAAGTTCACCAATTGATTGAAACGGTGTCTAACAGAAACAAAGCTTGTGTTATCTGCAAGGAGCGTATAACCTGCTATCACTTAGAGACAGACATGAAAATGATAACCAGCACTAATGGAAGAAGTACTGTGTGTCATGGCTGTTAAAAACATTTTCGCAAGTTGGTTGGTTGTTTAACGCAACACTTAGCAATATTCCAGCTATATGGCGGCGGTCTGTAGATATTCCAATCTGGACCAGACAATCCAGTGATCAACATTATGAGCATTGATCCACGCAATTGGGATACGGTTACATTTGCGTAGATCGGTGTTCATGCTGTTGACCACTGGATTGTGTGGTGTCGTGGGATGAATACTTTAGTAATGCAGGTCTTACGCTTTCACATGTGACATTCTCATTGAAATCAGATATGATATACGTTTAACTTCTCATCACAACTACGATCTAATTTTAATGAGAAATCATTCTCCGCTTTTGTGACATAAAAAATAACGTGTATTGTGCAAACAAACTGATGATATATTAGAAGAATCAGGCATTCGAAATCGTGTCATTGCTTTCCGGGTATGCCAAAGGAAGCAACTCTGTAAAGCCGAAAAGTCACGGTTCACTTCAGTCGTGGAGACGATCGATTGTATGTGGAGAATGAAACCAGGGTCGGAGCGTCCTGTTGATGCTAGTGTTGGGAATTCGTTAAAATCTCATAATTGATGATTGCTTCATTACAACCGATCAATCATCGAAAATAATTGGTTAGCGTCATTTATGAAATTTTCCTGGTTATTTTTGTTAATGCACAAAAAACATAAAGAAAAAAACATGTAGTTCTTTGGGTTTTTTTGGCAATTTTCACATCTTGAAAGGATGACTAGTATGTTAGGAACATCAATTTCCTGATGTCTTTAAGATAAATTCAATCATGACTTGGAACGAGCTTTTAGTGCTTATGAAATGTAACTGACAAAACCAACCTTGTGAAAGATATTGTTAATGCTAAAAGTGTTCCAGAATTGTTTGTGTTCGATTATGAGAAAACATGATCGATGGCTTGGTCGTTTAGTCACTGCGACCAATTTTCGATTATTTCAATTAATCGGACCACCACTAGTTGATGCACAATAACTCTTTACGCTCTTACCGATATCAATTGGTTAAATGGGAACAACATTCAAAGTATATATTTTGGCCTACCAGATTTTCACTCGCAGTATATTTGTAGTTTTATGTGATGGCATAATTTGAGTACAATCGCCAACGACGGAAGGGATGATGTAAGTCCAGCTATGGTCCGTGGAGGTATAGTCTGTCATACAGACCCTGAAACAAATATATCCAAGAAATCCCATGCAAGTCTTGAATATGTGGCAAGTCTAGATTTCTACAGTTTCAGGGTTCCTTTTCATTACATTGTTTTTACTAGAGACTAGTTAGTCTAGTGCAGGTAGCAAAGGTATTGTAAGTACCCATGAACCTTACTATAATGGAACTATTCTGTTGTGCTTGAAAATTCGACACCCGCAGGATAAACACTTCCGTTTGGCAATACTGCCCCAATTTCGAAAACAGGGTCGGCCGAATACAACTGCTTAGAAATTGCTTAATTGCGTTCTTTCAAAATTATTCTTTCAAAATTTACCCCTCAGTGATTATATATTTTTTTAAGGCGGTTCTTTTGCCCACGCCCCTTTCACAACCCGCTCTTGCGTGATATCGGTTCATGATAAATAGCATTCGAAAATAACATCCCCACCCGGGTGTGAAATACGCACTATGTCGAAAAGCGCACGTTAAATCTCCAAATCATCATCATCACATCCCCACACAAACATTGTTTGCTGTCAGTAACAACAATAAGTACGAGTAAGAATGTTTATTCGTATTAAAGGTAGGGGTGTGACGATACAGAATTTTCACGAAACGATACGTATCGCGATATTTTAGAACGATACGATTCGATTCGATGCATATCGTGATATGCTATCTTTAGTTATTTTCTTTTAAAAAGTGTATTTTGATATCAAGTAACAGGGTTAAATTCTGAAATAACCGTCAATTTCCAGTAAAAGTTAACAATTTTAAGGTCAACGATGCATATCACGATACGAAAAAACTATCGATATATTTATCGTTAGATAAAGTATCACGATTTTCGATACTACGATATATCGTCACAGCTCTAATTAAGGGCCATGTGACCCATTGTCTATATTCATTAAACATTCTCAGCAATTTAACAGTAAGGTGGAGTTTACAGTTCTCGTTAAACACATGGATACTATATTTGGCTAAATTGTTAATGGTTTCGGAATTTCGAGAATTGGAGTGTGAATAACAGATAAATAATAACACATAACACTTCCAAAACATCTCTTCAAAAGATTTTTCCCTCAATTCGAAATATTCATTGCAGCTGAAAGAATCACGAGATCAGCGAATAGTTGCAAATTTGGATCTGAGAGACCAATAACTGAAATAATAGTAATTAAGTGAATGAAACTGTTTGGGATACTATTAAAAGGTAACTATTTTAAAGGTTATTTCAAAGATCTGTAAGTATCATTGCAAGTGGAATTGACTCAGTGTAAGAATCCGTTTGCTGACGTCAATATTTTTGCAAATATTTTATCGGGGTTGAGTTTTAACTAAAGTCTCAAGGAACGGATCGAGTGGAAAGTTTGGGCGTATGTGTTCCTCGATTTATTTTTCACAAGGATGGGTCGCAGCGAAAATGTCCATTCTCAGGTGAAAGCCAAGCTCAGTTTCATTATCCAATGTATGAAAAACGAAGAGACGAGATCAAAATCGCTTCTGTTCAGGGAATTTCAGGGGTCCGCTGGAATGTAAGTAGTCCGTCAGTGTTCACGTCATTTCAAGAATATTTACAATGGAGGGGTCGTTGTAGGCACGGGCACCACAGACATATGATACCCAGGTGAAATTCAGAATTTCTTCATCGGATATCCGTGACGGTCCGGGTTAGAATATTGATCTTCAGTAACCCATGCTTGTCGTAAGAGGCGACTAACGGGATCGGGTGGTCAGGCTCACTGGCTGGGTTGACATGTCATCGTGTCCAAATTGCGCAGATCGATGCTCATACTGTTGATCAATGGATTGTCTGGTCCAAACTCGATTATTTACAGACCACCGCCATATAGCTGGAATATTGCTGAGTGTGGCGTAAAACTAAACTCCCTAATATTTCGCCATGTACAATAAATACCACTCACAATCAGGCGATCAAATATGATTTCGGGTACTAGTAGTTATACTATTTAGGAGATAAACGTATTGTGTTTAATTTAGATGAATGTTAGGCCGAATTTGAAACCGAACGCGTAGTGTTTAATCTTTTTGATTGACCAATCAAAATCGAGTATTTCACGTATGCATGGTAGAATTCGCGATGTACAATGCCACTCACAATCAGGCGAACAACTAACTATACACGGTTTGGGTTTTGGGTTGAGGAATATGGACTCGCTCGACGTATAGGGTACCGGGTACGTTTCTGTAATTTAACTTTGTATAGGTACATTTTTGTATACGGAAACTTACCTGTGGTAGGTAGGAGTATCTGAACCAACGACTCCTTCAGCGCAATACTAGAATGTCGATGATTAACGTATGATTCGGTGTTAACGTTTTCCTTAGTGGGGTGGGGTGGGAGTGCGCACTGAAAGTTTATTAATTCACCATTGAAACTCTAGTGAAAATGTTAAAATGAAGTTTGACCCCTCTTTCTCAAGTTGAGTTGAGTTGAGTTGGGCAAGAGTGTGCGCTCCCCTTTCTCAAAAAGCTGTATCCGCCCCTGTTCTGATTAATCCCGTTTACCCAGCGTGTTGATCAAGCCACAGGGGCTTGTAAACATAAAACTGCCATCAAGGTATGTACTTTCACTGACGGGGTCTTATTTCTATATACAAGGATAGCGTTAAGACCCCGTCAGTGACAGTACATACTTGATAACGGCAATTTTAGCGTTACACAAGTCCCAGTGGATCAAGCGATCCTAGAGTTAGGAATCAAATATAGAAATAATACAATAATTCAATTTGCGTATTTGATTATTGATTATTCTTTAAAGTATCAACTATCCAGTCACAATTTTAGGTATCTTATAAGGCCAGGTATTAAATCTACCTGCAGATTAATTTTCATCTTACAGTCTTTGCTTCACTCGCCTACCCAGAGTTCCATGCGGCAAGCATGTACTAAATCATCACAACACCGGCGCGTGTCCGTCTTTCAGGCGATAGCCTCGGTTTCATCTGTGTTAAGGTGAAGGTCATTGAACATGTGATAGAAAACAATTTTACGTCAGCAGGTTGGGGGGAAAACAACCCAGAAAGAAGTGGATAACTACAAATGAACGATTTGCTGGTAATTATTACAGACACGGATGTTTAAATGAAGGTTAGAAAGTAAATCAATGTTGTTAAGATAGCACAGTGGACGAAGATCTAGTTCTGACATGTATGCGTTACGTTATCATTCAATCCCGTCGGCATGCCTCGTCACGAGTCGTCATTGCGAACTCTATAGTTACCGTTATAAAGTAGTAATTACTCAATGACGCTCGATAAAACCTTCACTTCGTTTCACTTCTCTATATTATTTGATTTACTTTTTTTGTTTCAAGTGAAAATCATCGGTACGTTTTAACTGCAAACAGACTATACTGTACACGTTGAGTACGGGAAGTGTTAGCCGATCAGGGTCATGTCTTTTCTGTATATGGGACCACATCGCGGCTGCCGAGTGTAACAGAACTTCATCAAGTATCCACGAGCCTCGTCCTGTTCACGTTTGTTATGATAAAATATCAGTTACGTGGTTCGATCTGTAAGTATTTCACGAACCTAAATCTTTGCGTTAAATGTGGAAAATAGACTTTAGAGGATTGTCATACCCATCCCACGAACTATTGAGGGTTTTGATGAAACCTTTAGTCATAACATAGGATATTGACTATTGAACGAAACACCAGTAAAATAGTTTAATTGTAAACATGATTTAGTTCCGAGTAGTAAATGTTCCGGTTCGGAATAAATGCCGTGAAATTGAGAATGGATGACACGAATAAAAATTCCGCACATACGGCAAATATTCCATCGAACAGGAACAAATACCATAGGCCTAACCTATTCCAGTCATTATTGAATGCAAACTGGACTCTTCCAACTTGTCAACATCCGGGATGTCTACTAACTTCAACTTAGTTACATGTTGACTGTAACCTGGCTACTGACTAACTGTAACTTGGCTACATGTTGACTGTAATCTGGCTACAGACTAACGGTAACTTGGTTACATGTTCACTAACCTGGCTACTGACTGACTGTAACTTGGTTACATATTGACTGTAACCTTGCTTCCGACTAACTGTAACTTGGTTACATGTTGACTGTAATCTGGCTACTGACTGATTGTTAATTGGTTACATGTTGACTGTAACCTGGCTACTGACTGACTGTTAGTTGGTTACATGTTGACTGTAACCTGGCTACTGACTGACTGTAACTTGGTTACATGTTGACTGTAACCTGGCTACTGACTTTAACTTGGTTACATGTTGACTGTAACCTGGCTACTGACTGTAACTTGGTTACATTTTGACTGTAACCTGGCTACTGACTGACTGTAACCTAGTTAAATGTTGACTGTAACTAGGTTACATGTTGACTGTAACCTGGCTACTGACTAACTTGGTAACATGTTGACTGTAACCTGGCTACTGACTGACTGTAACTTGGTTACATGTTGACTGTAACCTGGCTACTGACTGTAACTTGGTTACATTTTGACTGTAACCTGGCTACTGACTGACTGTAACTTGGTTACATGTTGACTGTAACCTGGCTACTGACTAACTTGGTAACATGTTGACTGTAACCTGGCTACTGACTGACTGTAACCTGGCTACTGACTGTAACTTGGTTATATTTCGACTGTAACCTGGCTACTGACTGTAACCTGATTAATGAAGGTAACTTGGTTACATAATAACTGAACTCTTTTTAACACAAGATTCATTTAGAATCATCAGTTCAGATTCTGGGGAATCTACAAATGTATTTTCATAAAAAAAATTAAGGAATTTTCACACATGATAATTGCTTCTTGATAGCCACATGATTTGTTCCATATGGAACAAATACCATATGTTCCATATGGAATAAAAAACCGTAGGAAAATCTTTTTTTCCTTTCCGTTTCCCCCACGACCCAATGTTTAAGACCACCCCAACAAACAAGACCCTCTTTAGGACACTTTATGATGTGTGTGGAAGTTCCTCTTTACCCGGAATAAATTCTGTGTGCGGAACGAAATAATTGTTCCGCATGCACTATTACAGGAACAAATGTTGGAATGAAAAGTTCCAACGGAACTTGTACTATGGGGGAACCAAATCTGTTTTACATAATATGTGAAGGGGTAAGCGTTGCATGTTGGAACAGGTACAAAAGTCCGTTTGGCTCAAAAGTGGACCGATGAATTGCAATCGAACCGAAAACTAATAAACATATAATACTCAATGAAACGCTGATCATAATCAAAACATCAGACCAACTCTGTGATTTCTTTGCAGAATTTATGTCCTAAAATTTAAAAAGTTGTTTAACAAACTATCATTAAAATTTTGACATAGTTCACTATTTATTAGAAGGGAGGAGTGCAGAGAAACGGACAGCCAGGTGTTAGAGAAGCCCGTGCACAAGTACCGACAAAGTTCATTTACCTGTGCTGTGCCGTCTCCAGCCTTCCTCGCACACCTGGCTGTCCCTTTCTCTGCACTCCTCCCTCGTAACAAATATTGAACTGTGTCAATATTTTAATGATAGTTTGTTAAACAACTTTGTTATTTTTAGGACATAAATTCTGCAAAAACCTCACAGAGTTGGTCTGACGTTTTGATTATTGAGTATTTTATGTTTATTAGTTTTTGAGTTAGATTGCAATTCATTGGTCTGCTTTACAGACCAATCAAAACTGACTGCTCTTGATTTTTTAATTCTTTGTTATGAAGTGCAACTGGTGTTGGTTTGGTTTGGTTGTTGTTTAAGGCCATACTCAGCAATATTCCAGCTATATACGGCAGTCTGTAAATAATCCAGTCTGGACCAGACAATCTAGTGATCAACATCATGAGCATCGATCTACACAATTGAGATGCAATAACATGTGTCAACCATGTCAGCAAGCCTGACCAGCCTGATCACCAGGTCAGTCGCCCCTTACCACAAGCATGGGTTGCTGAAGACAAATTCTAGCCCAGTTCTTCATGGCAGGGCTACAGATAAGAGGCGTACAGGCGTAATGTACGCCTCAAAATCAATAAAGTACGACATAATATAAGATTTCAAGCGTATCGTGTACCCACATAAATACCATTGTACGTCTAACATTTAATTTCCGTGTGTATCGTGTAATCGAAATCTATTTCGGATAAATACTTGTCAAGTTTCTTTTGCGAATCACGATTTGACACATGAGGAAACCCCGACAGTAGGAATCCCCTGCGTTGCCATGGAACGATATACGTCACTATTTTTCAATTGGCTAAAAACTACACTGTTCCTATTTATATCCAGTCGGACCTGACATTTCGCGCATCACACGGTCGCTCAGTTATTTCTCACGCGTCTTCAAATACAAATACATGGTTGGAAATAGTGATCAATGAATCGTCCAGACAAACCACATCACCAACTCGCTCGCACAAAAACATGTCAGTACTCCTTCAAAATTCTCAGTACACCTCCACTTGCAATATGATGTGTAAGTACACTCATACCCCAAAAAGTTATCTGGAGCCCTGATTCATGGGTCTATGAAGTGGAACTTGGGGGTACATGAATGAGTTGTCTCCTGGCAGAACTCAAAGACAGTCAAATTTCTTGATCAAACTTTGCAAAATGTTAGTCTTTTGCCATTTTAAGTATGTAGTTTTTCTCCTAATGACAAACCATTTGTTTCCAAATCGAACGATTATGATGTATTTGGAGGATTTTATCTCATAGATATATTTTTTCAAATAGAAAACAAATGGAATACAACAGGCTATCTAATGATGCTGTCAGTTATCTCATAGTTTCAGGGCTGTAATGACACAGCTGAAGGCAGTGTATGAAATAAGGCTCGTCCGACCGCCCGAGACGGGTTAGATTTCAGATGGAAGGTCTAGATTTACATCTAGCCAGCCTGATGGTCTGGTAAAAATTTAGATGTTATATAAATCCAGAGGTACAGAAATGCTGCGTATCTGCGTAAATTATGCAAATATTTATGTAAAAACTCAATTTCTATTCAGTCTACTGCGTACAAGTATGCTTGAAGTTTTGTAAATACTCACAAATGTGATCCTACATGCGTACACACAAAAATGTCAAATCTTAGCTTGCGTACCGGTGGATAGATAAAATAACTGAAGTATACTGAGAGGATCTATTTCAGGACATGAACTTGACAACTTGCAGTCTTTCTTATCATTTCTCATATTACTGATCAAATATAAATAACAAACATTAACTTTTAAACTTCACTATATTTTCAAATTTAATGGAAAATGGCAAAATACCCAACTGAGTTTGAGTGAGGTGAGTACAATATATTTGGTTACTCAAAGAAGAATTAAGATACACAACTGAGATGAACACAAGTGAGTACATAACTCAATGACCCAAAAAGTTACCTGTAGCTCTGAAATCTGAGTCATATCTTGGTGTCTGGTCTGGTTGAATCGATTTTGGACTGGTAACATTTTGAAGTTACCAGCCCTGATGTCTGGCTGGGGCTTTGGCTTATTTCATACACAGCTGAAGGTACTAGTCTGCCAGTAGCAAATTCACTAGCCTGTGATTTAGTGTCATTTCCCTCAGCTTAGGGTGCCAAGTCCTGATGGAGATGTTTTTGTATGTGGTTTAACTCAATATTCCAGCTATATGGAGATCTGCAAAATAATCAAGTCTGAACCATACGATCCAGTGACTGACATTATGAGCACGTTAGTGGGACACGATGACATGAGGTCAGCCGAGTCTGACACCTGATGTAAGCCTCTTATGACAAGCTTGTTGCTGAAGACCACTTTTAATCAGTTTACATGAAAATAGAATTTAGTTTACATGGAACACAATGGACTCAAGTGTTTTCTTGTTTCTTTATTATACCCTAAATCCACAACCACAGTATTTGTGGAAGTGCTATAGTTTTATGACCCGATTAAAAATGAAAAAATGTGCATGCAATTTTTCATTCTTACCCTCCTGAGGTGTATGCAATCAAAGCTGACTGAAGGGCAAGAGTGTTAACAGTCACATTTCCGTTTCCATCCTACCGGGTACCCTTCTACTGCTGGATGAATATCCTTAAAGTGTATCCTTTATATTCAGTAGTAGTTATTGTACACTAAATTAGTGATGGTTGATAGTGTTGTTATACATATACTGTGATTCCAGTGTTTTTTACACTTCGTCCCTATTTCAGGAGTTCGTTAAGCTTTAATAACAAATTTTAATCATGATAAAATAAAAATGTGAATGGGTCATTCTCAAAAAAGGCCAAATTAGTGCTATGAAAAATATGAAAATACAAAGCATCATACTGAATTATCTCATTATTGTTTTCAATGGTCAACATTAAAAAATGCGCGGTCATGATAATTTGCACACAGGAAAGTAATAAAATATTTTTAAAATAAACTTTTTTAAAGTATCCACTGAAAAAACCGTCAGTGGTGTAACAAGCATAAAAAGTATTCTTTTTCAAACTTTGATGTCAGATAAGGAATTTTTCACATTTGTCATTATTTACAAACTTTTTCTATTTTCAAATATATAAATTAAATGGTTTCATTATTCTCACATATTTAATTGTAAATTTGGCAAAAAGGGCTTGGTGTGAGAAGAATGTAATGGTAACATATGATATTTGTTTCTGAAATAACTTGTATACTTAAGACTGAACATGTTTTATGTATACAGTGGTATTAAAGCTGTTTTCAGTTATCATAAAATATCAGTCTAACTGTTAAATTATTCTTTTGAAATAATTAAATGTTAGCGAATATGCATGTTACACCACTGACATTTTTTGATATCCTGCCTGTTACACCACTGAACTTTCTGCAACTTACTGGAACAGTAAACCAAATCAACAGCCATATGATGCTTTGGATTACTTAATAATCATCATTGGAGAACGGCTTTCCAACATGTGGCATTGGAAAACATGATATCAACAGTTAAGATTAAAATGTACAAATTCAAAGAATACTGTGACACCAATGACATGTTGTGTTACACTACTGACTTTTCTTTACCTCACTCTAAATATAAATCCAAATTAATTGCCTTTTATTGATAATTAACAGATTTAAACAGCTCAACAGCCAATTCTGAACACTCAGATTTTAAAAGGTTTTTAAAAAATAATATCCAAAAGCAATAAAATGAACAAATTTTAGTAATATTGTTACACCAGTGACATTTTTTGTTACACCAATGATTTTTATTGAATTAACTTCAACGATAAATTCAAATTAATTGCCTTTAATTGATCATTAATAGAATTGAACTGCTCAATAGCAACTTTTGAACACTCAGATTTTAAAAGGTTTTTCAAAAATAATATTAAAAGCAATAAAATGAACATATTGTAGTAATACTGTTACACCAATGATATTTTTTGTTACACCACTGATTTTTCTGAACTTTATATAGTAATATACCAGAACAAATTACCTTCACAGACTTTATATATATGAGTTAATGGTCATAAAATATACTGGATAAATACAATGCAAAACAATTCAGTTTTGTGAACAAGTGACTTAAATGAACATTTTGTCAGTGGTGTAACAAAATTGTCAGTGGTAGTAACAATTTCCCACTGACAGTTACACCACTGACCTATTCCCACTTTTATGAACTTTATAACAATTAATGCTCCTTAACCACAGACCACCTGGCATAAATGTTGATGTTTTAGCAACTTTGATGTACTTAAAATAAACATTGTTATGAAAAAGACACATGAATAAGAAATCAGCGTTACACCACTGACTCGCTAAAAAGTTATGATATGAAGTAGACTCACCTAACTGCATCAAACTTCAACATCCAAATAAAATTTGGCCTCCACAGAACTTCTGTCACGAGAAGAAAGTAATCAGCAAAGGGACCATTTAGTGTTTCATATTTTTACTCAAAGCGAGATAATTATTAATGTCACAAGTTAATATTCGTTACACCACTGACTGTGACATTTTGGACAGTCATTGTTTTCATTGTAAATATGTGATTTTCATTTTGTTTTCAATATTTCATGCAGGAATGTGTTTTAGATATTGGTGTTTCATTATAAATCTTTAAAAAATATGTATAAATACCCTGGAATTTAAACTTTATGGTACTGCAAAGTAATGTCGCTGTCCACTGACAGTGGTTTTTCTTTCAAAATGATGATAAAACCCCAAATTTGTCCCAAAACTAACAAACAGGTACACCATTTTACATCATTATGAGGAACAAAATACATTTTCTTTCATAATGTGATTTTTGAAAAAAAAATTGAAACTATATTTTCAGAGCACTACTGACCAAAAGTTGGGCAAATTTTGAGAATGACCCGAATAATATTTGGCACAAATGAAACACGGAAATATCCGAAGATTTCCGAGTGTTACGACGTTTTCCGAATGCATGTCAAAATACCGGTTTTCGATCAGTGTAAATACCGGTAAACCGGTTATATTGCGCAGCCCTAGTTTACTGACTAGGTTGACGGATGTTAAATTCCAAAGATCAATGTTCATGATGTCAATTGCTTCATCGGCTGGTCCAGATGTGATTATTTACCAACAACTACAGATAATTTACAGATCATATTTCTCAGTGTGGCTTTAAACAATAAACAAACTAACATCTGAAGCACTGCCAATCATGAGCAAGCTTTGTTATCCAGAGATACAAAATCAAACTTTGAGATCAGATCAAGCATGAATAAAATAATAAAACATTTTTTATTCTGTTTAGTGGAGAGACTTCTGAAAACGCCATGGAGAAGGCTCCAAAACAGGACGTATGGAACATGGCCGACCTGGAAGGGATGTTCAGGAAGGTTGCTGAAACAAGGAAAGGGAGGGAGAAATTGATGAAGTCTTATAAAAGACTTCGATTCATCTACCATCAGCTGAAAGAAAAACTTGAGGTTGAGCAGGAGAAGAAAAATACAGGTAAATATACTACTAACAGTCACAAGATATGTTCAATTCTTGGATCAACATAGAATGTTGAACATGCAGTTGGTGTTCCGAGACTTTAGTCAGGATTTCAATAATTAAGTGGTGGTGGAATTGGGTTTAGCGTCGGTGCTTGAGAATATTTTGGCTCATATGGCGGCGTGTATGTGTGTGTAATGTGTATGCGGCTGTTTGTACTAGCCCAGACTGAAGCTGGTTTATAGTGCTAACCCAATGAGATTCCATGCCGCAGTGAAGCATGAATACCCCACTCAGACGCATTATACTGACTCGAGCCGACCAGTCCTTGATGTACCCATTAATGCCGGAGAAGCCAGGCAGGGACCAACAAGTACCATATTTCAACGTCTTTTGGTATGGCGTGGGGGATCGAACCAGCGACCTTCCGCCACTCGAGGTGGACGCTCAAACTCCACTACACCACCGGAGGCGGTCCAATAATTAAGTACCAGAGTGAGTCAGTGAGTTTAGTTTTACGCCACTCTTGGCAATATTCCAGCAATATAACAGTGGGGGACACCAGAAATGGGCTTCACACATTACCCATTTGGGGAATCGAACCTGGGCCTTCGGAGTGATGAGTGAATGCTTTAGCCACTAGGCTACCCCACCGCCCTGTAAGTATCAGAGACATGAAAGTATATTGGCATTACCAGTGTTTCGTGGTATCATGAGGTGGACTGGTATTTCTGATGATATGTGAGCACATAATATTTGTCCTAAAGTATAACTACTGTTGGAAAAATAAATAAATTTCACAAACAAGATACAAACATATTCCTCTAATTCATACTCTTGCATGGAATATGGTTACTGCACTTGCATGACTAATACTCTGCTATCCAGACAGGAATATAAAACCAAGGAGTGAGTGAGTGAGTGAGTATGGTTTTACGCCACTTTTTAGCAATATTCCAGCAATATCATGGCGGCGGACACCAGAATGGGCTTCACACATTGTACCCATGTGGGGAATCAAACCCGGGTCTTTGGCGTGACAAGCGAACACTTTAACCACTAGGCTACCCAACCGGCCCTTAAAACCAAGGAATAGATAAGTGAGTGTTGTTTGTGGAAACCAAAATGTCAGACAAAATTGGGGTTAGTCAAAACAAATTGTGGTATATATCCAGGTACATACCGCGATAAAAGTCAGAATACCTTGGTAAACTGTGGTATGAATATTTCCAACTGTTGTAGGTATTTGTTCTGTTACAATTCACACTTATATTGGATTCAATTTGTTACTAGTTGTCACTGGAATCGAATATTTACAAATACTTCTTGAAAGAATGTACAGAGGTACAGATAAGCTGCGTATCTGCGTAAATTACGCAAAACTTTTGTGAAAAGCCAATTCCTATTAAGTCTATTAGCAGTACAAGTGCAGCGTGAAGAATGATCTTACATGCGTACACACAAAAATGTTGCTAGCATTACCCGATTGGGGATGAACTTGCATATTGAGAGGTTCTATTTTTCACTTGACAACTTGAGACTAACAACAAAACTATATTATATTTTAAAATTACAAGCCATACCCAAATGAGTGATTGAGGTGGTATAAGTTACTCAAGGGAAAATTAGGATGTGAGGCGAAGACAAGGGAGTACATAACTTTGCACAGGAGCCTTTCATGTTATTTTTATTGTCACATATATGCATTAACTGGCATTGTCATCACTATGCATTAACTGGCATTGTCATATTTTGGGCTTTATAGAAAGTATCATGAAAGGAATTGAAGGCATGTCAAATTTAAGACAAAAATTTGTGTCGTCACAAAATTGCCCTTATGGCTATCACTGACTGTCTTCATGTAAACAAAACACAAGCACGTGCACTACTGATAAGGATACTGTGTTGCTATAATCAGATACACGATGTCAAGAATTGCATTACTGTTATATACTTTTCAGATTTTAATTTTTTTCCTGAAGAAAACCATTGCAGATATTGAAACAATATCCATAATGATATACATATTACATGAAGAAGACACATGCTCTCTCCAAGAGACATCAACTCACATACAGAAAAAAATATAATGTATTTTGGAGATTTAATAATGCTATGCTGCTTTGGATCTCAGGGTTGTCCATAGTCACCAGTTGAGAGGACTTAAGTCCCTCACTTATAATTGTGTGTTGCAGAAAAATGTTATGTTTTAAACATAAGTGCGAATGGTCTAGGCTGGTGAAAGGTTGTAACTGGTAGTTTCAGCAGTTACTTGATCCATTTGCTATTTTCATTCTTTGATTTTAAACATGAAGTTTGCATTGATAAATTTTCGTATTGATGACATCAACCTGTTTGACACTCTTGTGGCTGCCAATCTTACCTGCCATTTAAGCCAATGATCAGTGCATAACCTTGTTTTAATATTTACCTTGCTAAATGTAAAATATGAATCAATTTAATGCAAAAATTAAATAATTTACTTGTGGCATCTGTCTTTGTTTGGCTATTAAACTGCAAGGTAAATACTTTTTATGTTGAGAAAGTGCAAGGAAAATAGGTTAATTTTTGTTTGAACTTGCCCTATAAGATAGTGATCAGTACACAGACTTCTGTTTCAATTGAAATGGCTTAATGTAACAAGTATACATAGATAAAATAGTGAGTGAGTATAAATAAATAAGCAAGTAAGTAAGTAAGTAAGTAAGTAAGTAAGTAAGTAAGTAACCTTGTTCATACTATCAATCACTGACCTACATACAAACAGAAATAAGGCCCGCAAAGTCTTCATGAACTATTCAATATGCTGCATCGGTTTCAGATCAAGAGCAACCATCAAGTAGAACACATGAACTTGATGCAGAAAACATACAGGTATCAACAGAGGACTTTAAACTTAAAAATGAAGACATTGATACATCAGGACCAATTGATTACACTAATAAAACCCGTCTTAAGGAGCCTTGCGAACAGCTACCTTCATCCAATGGCAAGGACAGTGTGTGTGAAGGTGCTTCATCCTCTCAACATGGAGGAGCAGTATGTACTGTTCGATCCTCTGAGACTCCCCACAGCTCTACTTCTAGTGAAGATTCAAAGTGTTTACCAAACACTGGCAACATTTTCCCGGCACATACAGAGGCAAGGAGTTATATGGTAAGAGATGAAGACAATGGTCCTGAAGATGTTGTGGAAGACAAGCCAATGATCATCCAAGAGTCTTCAGTTGCTACTGATATGAGAAAACTTGCAATGCCCGAGGTATCAGGATATCCATATGTGCAAAATATCACTCCAGGTGTTGTCTCTTTGCCAGATACAGAAATGATAGATGTTAAAACTTTATATAAATCATTAGGTATACAGAATGTGTATACTTCTGAAGGGGAAAAAGGAGCAAATACACACCACAAAAAAGATCGGGGGATGAAAAGTTCCAGTCTTGAAAGCCTCCAACTGGCTCCAAAGCAAGGGATGAATAATTTCTTTGCAGAAACGTCTTCAAGTAGTTCCCAATCAGATCAGCAGATGGATCCAGTTGACAGTGCAGCATCTGATGTTTCTGCAGACTTTTCAAAATGTGATCTCAAAACGTTGTTGCTTTCAAGCCCAGTATGTCCAATCTGTAACAAAAGCTTCTCCGCAAAGTCAGTTCTGAAAAAGCATTTGCTCATTCATACCAACACTCGTCCATACAAATGTGGGACTTGTGGGAATGGGTTCAATTCAAGAAGTTCTTTACAGACGCACGAGAGGCTCCATTCGGGAGAGCGGCCCTATGGATGTCGATATTGTGAGTTGAGATTTGCAGTGAGTAGCCACAGAACAACACATGAACGGACTCACACAAAAGAGCAGCCATACCAGTGTGAGTTCTGTTCCCGTCGTTTCTCTCTAAGCTGTTCTCTGCAGCGGCATCGACGACTCCACACAGGGGAGAGGCCGCACAAATGCAGTGAGTGTGGCAGTGATTTCAAACAGAAGGAGCACTTGAAGTATCACAAAGCGAAATACCACACTGGTGAGAAGCTGCACAGGTGTCCAGAATGCAATGAAGCTTTTGTCTATGCCCAGCAGCTGAAGCACCATAGGGCCAGGGTGCACACTGGAGAGATGCTTTACAAGTGTAATTACTGCAGTGAGGCATTTTCCTATCCCCATCAGTTACGGTCTCACAGGGCTGAAGTTCACTCAGGTGAGACCCCTTACAAGTGCAGTCACTGCGGTGATGCTTTTAATTCATGCCAGGAGCGGGATTGTCATAGAGATCAGGTTCATACAGGTGCGAACCCCTACAAATGTGAAGACTGTGTGTGCGTGTTCTACCATCCTAAGGAGTTGGAGCACCACCGGATGCAGGTTCATCAGGATAAAGAATCCCAATGCCTGCCCTACTTTGGAGCTGATGTAGATGTAGCTGAGCCTCTGGATGCTGATTAAACAGCTGGATGTAGCTTAAGGGTAAATACACCGAGCATTAGATCCAGTAGATGCACCATCTCTGAACACAATGTCGCAAATAAGGGTATCTGCTAATGTGTGAGGTTGATGATTTACAAATATCCATGTTACTAACAAACTGTTGTAACTACCTCAAACAAGAGGTCTGTTAGGGTGGTGATGAACAACATGCCCTGTCTCTAACACTCCGCTGTAATTACCTCAAGTAAGTGGTCTGTTAGTTCTAGCAGGGGAGCGTGAATTTTAATTGTTGTGTTTTCAGTGTCAGCATGTGTTCTTCTCGGAGGTTTTACTGACATTGAACATCATTTCATGTTCTTAGATAGGTGACATGAAATTTTGTGGAACCAGCATAATGTTGTAAATGCCTTGCCTGCGAAGAATGTTGGCCTGAGAATGTGTTGTACAGAAGGTTCTTTGGCTGGAACCAACATCCTGCTGTAGATGTCCATTAGTTCTTAGTGGATGTTGCTTAGAAAAAAACATGGATTGACCCAAGGTCATGTTGTATATACCTAGCCTGTGAGGAGCATTAGTTCTAGGGGATGTGTTCCTCACGAGATTCTCAAGCCAGAACAAAATTATTTTGTATATGTCTAGGTCTGTGTGGAACATTAGTTCTAGGGGATGTGTTCCTCACAAGATTCTCAAGCCAGAACAAAAATGATTTTGTATATGCCTAGGTCTGTGAGGAGCATTAGTTCTAGGGGATATGTTCCTCACGAGATTCTCAAGCCAGAACAAAAATGATTTTGTATATGCCTAGGTCTGTGTGGAGCATTAGTTCTGTGGTATGTGTTCCTTAGAAGATATTCTAGCTGGAACCAAGATGGTTTTGGGTTAGGAGATACTCAAGCCAGAACAAAGATCATGTTGCAGTAGCCAAGCTTGTAAAGAATGTTAGTTTTTTGGGATGTGTTGTACAGCAGATACCCTCACTAGAATCAACATCCTATTGTATAAGTCTAGCTTATGATGATTGATAGCATCTCCATGAGGTGTAGTACAGAGGATATCCTTGCAAGAATCAACATCACGTTGTAGATGCCGAGCTTATGATGAGTGTTAGTTCTTACACTGTATAGGGGAGAGCATGCAAGGTAAATACACTATCACAATATGCTTATTATTCCATACATTTCTTATTATTATTAAGACTATATTCTGTAGGGATGCCAATACATCGATACTTTTTCTAAGACGATACAATTATCTACACATTCAAAACTGTATCGATATTAGTTTTGAAAGTATCAGTTTAAATATGTTTATGTATTGTTTACATTTTGCAATTGTATCATATTTTTTTATGTTATGAGAGTTATAAATGATTATTTTCCATGCACAAAGATGGGAAGTTAGAACTTTTTAATCTCTGAGAATAACAAATGTTGATCTTTTCATGGACAGTTATAAAATATGTAATATTAATGTTCAAAATGTAACTAAATTTACGCAATAATGCTGCGAAAATAGGTATCGTGATACTGTCAAATCATGAAATGGGTATCGCAATACGTATCAATTCATGAAACTTATGTATCGTGACATCCCTAATATTCTGTAGTTTCATGGGACTGCAGGTAAAATTTGTGAGAGATAGCAGTAATGATGGCATTGTCATGCATGCAAGTCATATTAAATGACTTAAATCTGCTCTAATATTTGATGTACCCTGAGAAGGATACCTAAGTCATGTGTGTTGAATTGGAAGAGTTGTGCTTTTAAGTTTTATATAAAATGGACGACTGTAAAACTTGTAAATGTGACTTTGATTTAATGTGTTTATCTTTTTAGCTTAGTTTTAACTGCGACTAGAAGACGGTGTGGTGAATGTAGCTTGACATATATATGTTATAGTGACAGTATGTATATCTTGCCTGTTTCTTTTGACAGTACTCTGCTGTTGGTTTAGCATGACCTTAGAATACAAAACAGTGCAATCCTGCAGATAAGATTTTTTTAACTGTTAATGTTTAGGGTATTCAGCATTTTAATCATTGAGTGACTGTGTCTTGCTTGTAAGTATGGCTTTGTCGGATTGTGACAGTAGTCACCTGTAGGTTTTTGATGATAACTGTGTTAGTTTGGACACTGCACATGTTTTAAATATTCTACATTTGTATGTTAACAGACCTTGGAATGATAAGAGTGTAGGGCTGCTATCTGTGGCAATGATTGTGCAATTCATTGAATGTTTTGTGATCACTTGGAATGATGAAGGCCTAAAGCTAGAATTCATGTGGGTTTTTTTCAAGATGACTTTTTAAACAAGGCATGAAAACTGTCATTGTTGTGAAAGTAAGTTTGATTTATCAATATTGACAGCATTTCTTTCTGAATATCTATCTTATGGCGTTTTTTCCATCATCTGGTTGTCCAGAATTGCTTTGTGAACAATTGCTCACAGAATTTCAGTCAGATATTGGCCATTCTTCATAATTATTTCGATGAGCTTTAAAGACTGGAACAACATCAGTCAAATAGTGAAGTGTTCAGTGTTGATATTATTTTGGCTTTATGTGCCTCTGTACGTGAAAGTGTGTCTTGCAACTATTGTATGTGTTATCCAATATTGTCAATAGTCTGTGGAAAATGAAATACATTCTCCTTTAGACATTTTTCATGACATTGTTTTCACAACCTATTGTTGGTGGCCCAAAATAAGCAAAATATTGTGCAAGTGGCATTAAAACCAGTCACTTGCTTCAAAACCATGTGTCCATTGATGTGCATATAGATGTAAATGTCTGTTCAACCACCTTGTTTACCTTGAGAAGAGTCCTGAATTTTGTCATTATATTGTGTAGTATGTGTTTATATGTTGTTGTAATGGATTTGGTTATACATGTTACTGTACAGTATTTTCGGTAATAAAGGTTATGCCAGTTTTCTTGGTTGATGATAAAAGATATAATAATAATAATTCATTTATATAGTGCCTAGTATCCATCTGACTAGTTGCTCACTGGACTCTGTAATCAGAATCTGATTATTATTACCCCGGATAACCCAAGCTGCCTGAAGGTTATGGTCACATGATTTTATCCAACCGGGTACCCATTTTCTGCTGGGTGAAACTCACTTGCCTAAGGTGAGACCACGTGTATCACATGTGCTTCGTTGTGGGTGAGGACTTAAGTCCTAGAAACTCTCAGGAGTCAAGCTGCCCAACACAGTCACCCATCCAAGGATTCTACGTCCTCGACGTTGCTTAACTTCAACTGATTTGTGACCTGTGTTTTACCGCAGGACCACACCACTACAAGATATGGTTGAATTAAATATGCCGACTTGCAAGAATGGCTAACTCTTAAGTTTGACATGCAAATGGTAACCCCAAAAAATCATAAAAGTTGCTGTACTCACAACAGGTACTTTGTATCATTTGTAAGTTGGTTACCACGGCGACGGTAATTTCAATGTTGCACATAAATTGAATGCCACTGTGCAGATCCAGACTGAGACTAAGGCACCAATACGTGGCGTTTGTAGCGACAGAATTGGTGATTATTTAGGAAAATAATTGACTTCCCTTTGCCTCAGGCGGGTGAGCATGGATTCCAAACACTATAGCTAATTGAAATTGATCTATTAGCACATGATCCTGATACGGTGGTAATCATACAATTTACTTTCTTCTTGTGGCTATGGAAAGAGCTGTGGCTTTCTTCGTCGCTGCAAATGCCATTTTTGCAAACAATTGTCCCACAATCACGACAAAGACCGTGACATACAATAGCACATGTACTGGATATTCCTTACACCCACTACTCATGAACAGTGTTGAAATACAAGTCGTATTCCACATGCCTAAATGGATGCTCATGTTGGTGATCACTGGATTGTCTTGTCCAGACATGATTATTTATAGACCGCCGCCATATAGCTGGACAATTTCTGACAGCAATACTACAATTAACAACAAGATAACGTGCAATAACATATATCAAGCACATGTAAAACATGTTTACTGCCTTGGAAAAAACAAAGTGCAATAGCACTTACCAAGCACACGATGCACGACAAAACTGCATTAGCACTTTAACGCAGATCTATTCCCTTCCATTTCAAAAACCACTATACAAAGACGTTCACCTATATTACACATTGTGTAAAAAAATCATAATCTTCTTTAAACGTTGAAGTACTCTCGATGCTTGAGGGGATAGTGCAATGATCTGTAGAACTGATGACATAAAAATATATTTCAAAACGTAACCAGGATATTGAACATCAATAGCGCAGACATACGAGTACTTGTGTTCCACAAACATTAGAACGATAAATTTAAAATGTAAAATAATGATTATGTTTTTGAGACAGGCATTTACAGGCATAGCTAATTCAGAAATAGAAATCGAAATAATTCCCAACATGCGTTAAGGAGAAGAGTAAAGCACTATGTGGAAATCTACATCAGTTTTACCGAAACACACCGATTTTTTAATGTACTGGATTCAAATGCTGTATTGTTTCATAACGTAACAGTACTAAATGTGTGTAGACGTAGAACGCCAGTACAAAAGAATGCCCAGTCTTGTCTATCTCCAGAACAAATTCCGTTTGGTATAAAGGGGAAAATAGCTTTGAAAATATATGAAAGAATAACTGAAATTGAGTGATGACACCAGGTGTTCGCTGAAAGGATAAGCATGTCCTGCCCTACCGGCAGCAAGCGCCATTCATTTCAGTCAATTACAAGAAAATTAAATAGCAAGAGAAACGCAAAATGTTCATTTGATATGTTCTCTAGTATTAACACCCAAGCAAATATTAAGGGGTTCAAGGTGCAGTTCTGACAAATTCGACTGCAGTTATCAAAACCTACCTTGATTAGACATTAACGGAAATGGTGTAATACCTATCCAGCAGTTAATTCCTATCCCAGTATTTTGACATGCAGACTTAACCTGACAATGGTCATTAGTTGATCAAATAGGAAAATGATCTTGTCCGTGTATCTCCATATACAGGGTGTTGGATATGATAAATGTAATGCCTCACTAGATTCAAGATTCAAGATGTTATTTGTATAAAGGCAATATGACCCAAGGTACAAATGATATATCATAATTTCTATCTAGTTACTTTTTTTGTTTTATGCATTCAAATACATGTAATTAAATTTAGCCAGATTTAACGGAAAGATGTTATTATTTGATTGGCACAGGTTTGAAACATTGTTCTGATTACCACTGCTACAATTTGAGATGAAACGCCCTCTCTCTGTTACCAAATATACACAATCATACAATACATGTTTTTCATTCAGTAATACAGTACAGTGTTTACAAATGAAGGAATTATCACTAAAGACATTTTCTTACTCATTCATTCACTTCTAAATAAAGTTAATACACGTCTGTGCTCATGGAAACTAATGTTTAACAAATATGTTTCACAGTTAAGTAAAGAAATGAGAATTATAGAAGAAAACCATTATGTGAGAGGACCACTCTGTAGAGAATAGTGCCAGTTCTGAAAAATACATTCTTTAACATGTTGACTAAAGACTTAAACAAAATGATCTGGACCCCCAACCTCTTGGGTTATCCAACAAAACCGTAGCTATAACGAAAAAGTAAATACTTTAGATAATTGGTCCAACTTGGCCTTTTTCTTTCTATGGATAACATATTATAACATTGGAAAGCATATCTTTGGCGTTGCATTTTTAACGGTCGTAGCCAATGCTAAGTACATTTAATATGATAGGAAACATAAAGTGGATATCTTCCACACTCCCCGTATGATACAGCATTCGACGATTTATAACTAATATGGAGAACAAATTTACAATACTTCCAATGGATAATTTCAATATTACTCCTTTCCTCCCACCCCAAAATTTCAGCCCGATATGTAAGAATTGAAGTAATATTTTTATCAAATGAAAAGAAAGCATCTTTTACTGAAAATCAAAACGTCTGATCAAAGATTTTATAGGCAATAATGCTTTGCTTGCTTGCTCCGCTAGTGTTTTAAAGACTCCAGTCCATATCTATTTAGGCGTTACCATTAACCTTAAATATTTATATGCGTTAACTATTTCCAAAGGATTCCTATAAAAGAAGATTTTTTCATATTTTGACAGAGGCCCAGCCATTTTAAAGGCAATTATTTTACTTTTAGCTTAATTAATATTCATACCCCATCTATAAGATAAGTTATGTAGAGCATCCAATCCTCAATGCCTCACTATTACTATGCGTCATGTCCAGAGAGTGACTAATATTTTAAGCTACAAATAGGACACGCAACTGCCAATGACCCGGGTTGTCTTTGGCTATGCAGTCTTCATCAAACAGAACACCTAAATTCCAAACGTTTGAAGACTAGCAAAAAATGCAGTCAGACAACCAGACAATAATCGGCAGAAATGTTATTTTGAAATCACTATTACTTGCAAAATTACACAATTTATTATCCTCAATTCCATCACCCCCAGATGAAATAATAAATAAATTTCAACAAGCCTGTTTCACATTTGTATGGAAAGACAAACCTGATAAAATTAAAAGAGATGTTTCAGCTATGCCACCTAAATATGGAGGAAATAGTGTCCCACTCATTAAGAACATTATTTATGCACACAAAATATCGTGGATAAAACTATTCTATTCAAGTAGCTGCAAATGGAAAGAATTAGTGGAAAATTGTATACCTAACTACAGAAGACTTTGGTTAGCTAATCCTGAATATATGGAAAAACACATTAAATCTTACATAAGAAATCCTTTTTGGAGAGATGTAATCTCTGCATGGAGATCATATCTAGAAAAGAATTATAAGACACTAAACTCAAATGACATGTTAAGCCAATGTATTTGGTTTAATTATATGTTTAACATAGGTAACGAAACAAGTTATATAAACAATTGGTACAATGCAGGAATACACTTTATTTATGATCTAATGAACCGAACTACAGGGGAATTCTATTCTTATGAAGAACATATATCAAGTTAAAACAAATATATTAAGATATCATAGTATCAAATCTTCCATAATTGCCTGCTTAAAGAGAAGACAAATCACTCTTCCCAAAACACTCCCATTTTCTCCAATACTACCATTCAAAATATATCAAAACTTAGTCTAAGGGTTAAAGGCTCCAAAACTTTTTATCTATCATTACTAGACACCAATTACGATAAGTCTTTGAAACACAGTATGATAACACAATGTTACGAAACATATACATATATATGATGACAAATCGATCTACAAAATGTAGTAATTTGAAATGGTTACAGATGAAGATATTATATGATATTATACCCACACACATTTTCTTAAATAGAATCGGTCTAAAGGACACACCTTTATGTACATTCTGTTCAAAGGAATTAGAAACAATTGTCCATCTACTCTGTAATTGTTGTCATGTTAAACAGATTTGGGGGAGTTTGACCAGATGGCTAATGACTGTAACTGAAAGCATAATTGACTTTACACCAGAAACCATCTTACTTGGATTTAAAGGGAAACATAATAATTCATTAAATGTAATATGTCTTGTTTTGAAACAGGTAATATACACAAAAAATTAAAAAAACAAGTTACAAATTTCAAGCATGTAGTAAGGGAGATATCAAAATACTATGAAATTACAAAATATAATGCTTACTCTACATGCAGTAACAGCGAGTTCTTTACCTTCTGGTCATCTTTCCTCAATATATTTACAGAAAATATTACGTCAGAAAACATTGTAAGTGTATTGCATTGTATTGTAGCATCAAATTTATAGGCAGGCGGTTTGTTACATTTCATAATTACAATTTATGGTTGTTACATTTAAACAACTTCCCTCAGGTAGTTCAGTATCAGATGTGGAAATGAATGTGAGTCCCTTTGCAGGCGATAAGTCCACGCATTCAAAATGTATTCTACATATACTATGTAAACTGTGGAAATGAAGATGGTAAAAATGTTTTTAAAAATAGATTAAATGGATTCTGTCACAAGGGCATGTTACTAGTTCTCGACCTTTATCGACTAATGTAACTCACAAGCTGTGTTTGTAAAACCATGGGGAGCTGTCAATAACATATTAGTGCGGTATCAAGAACCAATAATCTAAATACCAAAACATTATTTTCTGTAAAAACACCATGTTTATCGATCTGTTAGTGCATTTAGAATAAGTAAACACTCAAGGGTGCTCAAAGTTTGTCAAAGTGAGATGGCGTGTTAGCTTCACTACGTTTTGAAATGTAGAACATAGATAAAATATTTTTAAGTTGTAAATAATTCATATCTTTTGCAAATACAAGCTCTGGCAATGCTTTGGTATTTAGGAGAGATATCTATCCTTTACAATTAATTACAGTCAAGTTATCATACAAAATACAGATTGTAGTACTGTTACGGTTGAGTTTAAGAAGAAAGCGCAGTGTACTGTAAATAACGTGTAGATTATAGATTTATAGATTTGAAAAAAACTACACCCACCAAGTGGTGTTACATACATGTATTTGTTCATCTACCATTTTAGATATGCGAACAAAGATATTGATGATTGCATTGTGTACCGTATTCAAATATACTTTTTGTATTCAGTAATGATGCATGATGCATTTTCAAAATTGACATCACGTAAACAACAGCATCTATCGTAAAATCATGCATTATCACATAATGTAAAAAGACACATTATTTATGTTGGATCGTTCGCTTCATTTTATGCAATATTTTGCGAAAAAAAAAATTTCTGGGTATAAAACATATCTTGATATTGCAGGAATCATGTGTTTTGTACCGTTATTAAGTAATTGGATTACAATTAAACAATATAGAAATGTTTCAGGGATCGCTTTAGAAATAAAGTTAACTGTTTTAGAGTTTAGCGTGTATTTTGTAGATGACATTGTTCTGGAAAGTCCTCTCACGTCTTCATGCACATTAATTGCATTCTCTGTCGAGCTGATGTAAACATTAAAGGTCGCCGGACACTTTGGGTGAACTTGGTGAGGTGCTGCAAGAGGACTGTGACACGCCCCCGTTATATCGCTGCTCAGACATTTATATCCAGTATGTCTCGTCAGATAAATGGATGTTTGACCAATATAAGTGGTACTACAGACTACCAGCCCCCAAAAGATGTTAGATATACATGTATCTAAATAATGAGTCACCTACGATTTTCTTAATACATTTTGCTAATATACAGAGGAAAAGGACAAGTGTACAAAATGTCCTATCTATAGCAGCCACATATAGATTAATGAAAATAAGTGGTCCAATGCTACTGTTGGTGTCCACTGCATCATTAGTGAAGACACCGTTTGCTCTCCATCAACATGGGCGGTCTGTAAATAATCAAGTCTGGGCCACACAAGCCAGTGATCAATAGGATGATCAAGGCAATCGGGGTACGCTGACCTGTCTCAACCAAGTCAGCGAATCTGACCACCCGGATCAGTAAGTCGCTTCTTACGACAAGCATAGTTTGTTGAAGACCAATTCGTACCCGGATCTTTACGGGTTTACATCACTTGTAAGAGCTTGTGCTATAAACCCATTTCCGGTATGTTATCAAAACAGCAGATACTGTGGTTGGTCTTGTGGTGTAATAGCGACATAGAATTATGTTTCACGTTTGAAAAAATACAACTAATAACATTATTTATTTAGTTTAAGTCCACGGTTTCAAGTACAATATGTAAATGTTAAATACCAATATCATGATTATGCTAAATTCTTATGTGATTTGACTCCTTCATTCATATAATGTGGCTAATAATTATCTCCGACCAAGCGTACACATGAACAGTACAGCACAAACCACACAAACGCTTAAATAGCATTGTGTCCCAAGTATTCAATTTATGTCAAAACAATGACATGGATTGATTGTAAGTTGGCTTATTCCCCTGATCCCTCAGAACAAACCACTGGTAATATTTGTTAATTCAACACGTCAACGAAAATTGAAACTCTGCAGTGTCAAGAATAAAAGATTGGATCTGGTACTAATTGAAATGATCAGTCAGGTCACAGGCGATCTTGCTCGAGCACTTCTCGATGGTGTACTTGGTCCATCCGACTGCTGTTCCAGCATCCTCGGGGTTTGTTGTGAGGAGACAGTTGGGAGCAGCTGTTGGGTGGTAGCTGAAACTCAGGCAAGGCTGGGACAAGTGACACTTGAGACCGCAGTCATTGGTGGAAGCAGCCGTGAGAGACGTCATCGGTGTTGTAACATTAGTGTTGAACTCCTTAATGTACTTGCTTCCTGAAAGTAAACACCGTGCGATTCAAGACGTTAATAGAAGCAACAAAACCCTTTCCACAGCCCTTTCCACAAATGTCCGATGTACAATTATGTCAATATCGTGAGTGAGTGAGTTTAGTTTTACGCCGCACTCAGCAATATTCCAGCTATATGGCGGCGGTCTGAAAAAAATCGAGTCTGGACCAGACAACCCAGTGATCAACAGCATGAGCATCGATCTGTGCAATTGGGAACCGATGACACGCGTCAACCAAGTCATCGAGCCTGACCACCCGATTCCGTTAGTCGCCTTTTACGATAAGCATGGGTTACTGAAGTTTCATTCTAACCCAGACCCTCACGGGTCTGTCAATATCGTGATTAGGTGTGTGTTTGTTTGTTCAGCGCCACATCCAGCAACATTACAGCTGTATGAAGGTGGTCTGTGATTGACATGAACTTTACTGTTTTTAGTGTTCTGTATTTACACTCCGGTAGTGTTCTGTGGCATTAGAGGTACAAGCTTACATCATAATGTACAACTTAAATACATGTATGGAACATACAGTAGTCATATATACATATCGCTTGGTCGCAAGAATAGACTGTAAATAAATTAGATACGGTAACAGAGCAAGTGTCTGTGACAGAGCCTGTGTTTATGAATCACTATCATGACAGGTGTTTGTGAAAAGGTTAGCCTGTCATGTCATCATAAATGTACAAAGAATAGTCAAAATTCAAACTAAACAAAATGAGAATGTATGGTACAAGTCAAATTGGGTATTGCATCGGACATAAATTTTGTCTCTGATTCAAGTTTTAATAGTCCTCCACATGTCCACCAGGAAACATGGAATGATTAGTCAAAGGCATTTTTATTATATATACACGAAGGGTTCTAAATTCTCATTTAAAAGCACAATGTCATACATTTCGACAATATTTTGACCATATATAGTGGGACATATGTATTCTCTTTAGCTTCCTATCGATGCAATAAGAGATTTAGTATCCCTTACCATTTGCCTGAAATCGATAATTGAAACTTCGAGGCGAACAGCTTCCAAACAGAGAACACTTGCCATATATGGAATGTACACAATTGCTCCGTACATAGAAAACTGTCTCACGCGGTGTTGTCGGTGTTTGCCGAACTGGTTTAATGTGGTAGCTTTCCTGAGGGCTGATAGTACTCATGAGATAAATGCATTATTCATTTTTCGATAAGTGTGGTGTTACATAGTGCCTTTACTATGAAAGAGTTTATAGATTGATGAATGTGGATAGTTGAACGCACGAACGTATATAAAAGAGTATATTACCACTTCTTTTCACTGGCGTGCCTTCCACCTCAACTTCCGCAATGATTAAAAGTCCAGTGAGATTTCTCCAGACCTTCACAAATCTCACTGGTCGTGGGGGGGAACAAGTGAACGTGAAGGTTTCGCTTTGACCAACTATTTCTGGACACTGGCCGCAGATGAAGATGTCCACGTCAGGGCAGGCGATGCTGTCATCAGTGGACACACCCACGTACGCACTCTCCACATCTGCTTCCGCTTGACGAAATATTTGTAAAATAAAAAAGTGAGGTTGCTGGGAACATCTTTGTGTGGTGTCTGGTGACATTTGTAACTACTGACCCTGCATACTTAAACACATAGAGTTTGCTTTTGTTGATTTTGTTATTTGACTTCGGCAGCGGGCTGTAAATAATCGAGTGTGGACAAACAATCCAGTGAGCAACAACATGAACACACCGATCTACGCAATTGGCATACCTGACCACGATCGTAGCGCTAAGGTGATCGTAACTCCCATACTTTATGATAGATTTACCTTTTGGCATACCTGACCACCCGATCCTATTCCCCGTTTCTCAAAGCAATGGTAGCGCTAAGGTGATCGTAACTCCCCATACTTTATCATAGATGTACGTCTGTCGTAGCGCTAATGATCGCTTTATGAGGAGCTGTCGTTGCGCTATAATCGCAGGATCGTTACGGATAAACACATATAGAAGCATATAAACTTCTGGAATAAAGTAGCTGTGCCTCCAAACAGTCGACGTCAAGCAATGCACGTGTCAGCATACTGTTCACCTCGCCGTCTGTACACCCTTGCCCTGCCATGTAAACTGTCCAGAGGAAATCTCGACTAGTCAGTAAACAAAAGACCATCCCAATCTTGTCTTCGGTACTGAAGATGTTGTCTGTACCAGTCAAGACGTGCTTGTCGGTAACGTTGGAGCCAAACTGGCCTTATTGCAGACCGTCGCCCCCACCACCACCACCCTCCCAAAAAAATAATAATAATAAAAATAAAAAATAAAAAAATAAAAATAAAGCAGACAAAATTAAAACAAAACAAAAAAACAAAAAAAAACGCCCCCGAACAGTCCTGGAACTGATTGGACGTTAGCCAGGAATGGTCCGAGCAGTCTAACTGGCAGTCTGGAATCGCTTCCTTAGATGGGTCAGCCGAATGTAGTTGTCTTGCTGACGTGACGTCACGCGTGGACCGCCGGTCCGAGACAAATCTCTCATGTTCTAATTATGCTGAAAGCGTCTCCATAGAGATTAGATCGTGTAAGCCGTGGCATGACGTATATGTTGAAATTCATGTGTTGTCCACAACATTCAGAGGCTAGAGAATTATCAACCGTGCTTCAATTTCGAGTATTAGGTGTTTGAACTTCAGGTTTCAAAAGGTATGCAAAAAGTGATTATGTTCATTGTGCGCAAAATGCACGTGCCATGCACGATAAGTGACATCAAATGTAACGCAAAGTGTTTTGCTATATGTTTATTTATAACTTTTATTTTATGTAATTTTATGTTATGTACAGTTATTTTTTCCGTTAGTATATATAAACAACTTCACCAGTTGGCACAAAAACATACACTCTCATGATATCAAGACTCTCCATGCCCATGTACTCGTTGATAATTTTGGTTCATTTCAGTCTGAGTAGAGTGTTTGATGAAATTTTGGATTGAGACATATGCTTGCATCTTTACTTGTGGGAAATATTTAACTTGAGAAAGTGTATTCTGGAAGCAACTCACCGTATGATCTGTCACTTGTAGTAACTGAGATGTTATGGATAGTGAAGTATCCCTGTAGATCTCCCTGCCAGTAGGGATTCACACCGGACCAGGTTCTAGCTGGTATGGATCCGGGGCTGTTACCGTCATTGGCGAATTCAGCGTTCCAGTAGGTGGCACTGACTTTACAGGGTTTATCGAGCATAATGTTCTCTGCCTTACGTACCGAAATACCTGAAAGGAAATACTGTAACATCACACGTAAACGGACGACCACCAGTTCATACAGTGCATTTTAGATCAAGATCTCAAAGCAGACACTATAGATTCATCGTAATTCTTTGGTTTGACAGGTCAAGTTTTTATGACCATAACAGCAATGACGAATGCTAACTTTTAATGACGGAACGCTGTCGACTCAAGTCAACAACGACAGGCTTGCTTGTCTGAAAATGCTATCGTATATGTCGAGCATGCAATATTTCTATTTTATATTCCGATGTTCACAGACGCTGATTCAGTAGGTTTAGTTATTAGATATAGTAAACAAAATGTCCCTGTTGCTACAATCGAGTACAAGTAGGAGATAAACATACTGTGTTGGAAAATCAGAGGTATATAACGAAATTATAATAGCTCTAAATTTGATTTAAAACCGAGCCTAGCGTGAGGTTTTAAATAAAACATTTAGAGCTATTAGGTGTATAATTTTGTTATATACCTCTAATTTTCCGACACAGTACGTTTATCTTCATTCTACCGTAACAGCGTTATGAAGATTTAAAAAAAATACATACTGTGTTGAAAAATCAGAGGTATATAACGTGATTATATACTTCTGAATGGCTATGATTAACAAATCACAATCCAGTATTTACTGTTGTCATGGTAGAATAATCTGTCTCTGATCATTTGTCACACTGAGTTCGCAGTAAACTTCAGATGGCATTTGCTTTTACCTTTCGCCAATTGTCTTGAACCCTTAAGGATAATAATGCTACCATATCTATGATCTCAAGGCCGTGTGATGAAAGTCCCAAAGATAACGCCGTACCTTTGGCGTGTGACATAAAGGTGTACCGTTTTGGAAAACACAAATGTTTGACGCTGTTGAGCTTTAATCTCTTCTGTCCTCCTTAGCGATTACGAATTTGTTGATTCGATCAATGATTAAAGTTAATCTTTGAGACAGGTATAGTCTGGCAGAATTTTTTTCGTTACGGTGTTTGGTCACTTTACTCAAAAACTACATGTACAATCGTTTTCTAATTTGGCATGATGCATTATAATTGTTCTATTATTGTGAAGTTTGAATTTTATTAATTATGATTTAATAACAAAAACGTTGTCTATAATAGATATCATTATGTCAAGACACAAAAACATCTTAACTGTCAGGGGCAATAGGTGACTAATCGGAACAGCCACCTGGCCATGCAAATGTGCATGGCGTCACTACCAGTGAATGGCCAGGTGGCCAAATAAGAAAACGATTGTACTTGTAGTTTTTGAGTAAAGTGACCAAACACTGTGGCTATATGTGGTGGCACATTTGTCAGAATAAGAATGGAAACATACCTTCGAGCAGGACATAGCAAAGAGTGAACAGCAGGTTCTTGTCAGTTAGCGTCATCATGATTCCTCTTCTGAACCTTTTTGTGGATGCACAGTAATCAGAGGCCGATGGTTCGTGTATATACGAGTTGAGGAAATCCATGATGCAGACAAAACCAAGATCAATTTCAAAAAACGATTATAGACTTTGATACATATATTTAACTCATTTCATAACACCGAGTATTGATTTACATATGTTTCCTTCTTCTGTTTGTTACTAAGAGACAGAGCGGCAGATTTTTTTATGACGAATCTTGGTTATTAATGTCTGATCATTAAAACATACAAAAGGGATAATATGACGGCGTCGGTGAAATTTGAACACTAATCGACATAGTCGGGAATATGCCGTAAGCTGATGAAGTAAGTGCCACTTGTACTGAAAGACCTTCCCAGTTACATTTGAGACAGTTGAACATCATGCACATCTCTTCATCGTGATGTTATATCAGCATTTTGTGTGTTGATTATAATTTCATTTTCTAAAGAGAGGGAGGGTACACCACATTCAACGTAGATTTATCATTGCCAGCGTTTTAATCGTAGAATTTGTGTTATTTTATTATGGCTAGATTGTGTAAACTTGCTAAAGTCTGAATGGATGGTGTAAATCCAGCTAGGGTCCATGCAGGAAGGAAATGTACTGTAAGTCCCCATGGCCCTAGTATGGTGATCTACCTTCAGTTGTTGGCAATCTATAGCCTGTTTTTTATATTGTAATGTTTTCTGTAGTTGAAATATTTTAAATGTGCATGCTAGTTTTATATTTATAGCTATGATATTCTAGTTGTTTACTGTCCTTCGTTGACAGGCTTTTTGTGATTTACATGTATTTATGGAGAATTCCAAACTTGTTTTAGACTCGACATGGATGAAATTTTGTTAACGTGACGGTAAATCTCAACTCACTCCCTCACACATTTTCCCTCATAATCATTTTCCAAAGTAGATGTTCTGAAAACAGGTTGTTGATAAATCATGCCTTACGATTTAAAAGTTGATCAATTAGAAAGAAGTGCAGGATTTTTAAGCATTTCCTGCAATCCTGCCTTCACAAAATCCAGGAATACGGAGAAAATGAGTGACCGTTTTGATTAACGGTGCCTAAACAGGTAACTGATGTATCATTTCACATTATCTTAATCAGAAGAAAGAAACTTTAGGAAACACCAAAGTTGAAGGCTAAGATCATTGTTTCGAAGGTACGCTTGTATTTCGATGTTGAATTTGAGAAATGCACGATAATGCAAGACCACACGTTGTTCGAAAACATTTTAATGTATTAGTCTGGCCCGTAAGATACTCTGCCTTGTCACACATTGAACACTTAAGGCATTACATAGAGCAACGTCTTACGTATTCTCAAACAATGCTGGCAATATCTTCCTAAGGACTTTCATCGACGTTTTTTGATCTGCATCAATGCACATGGTGCCTCCACTCGCTACTGACCACGTGAACTTGCTTGTGAATGTCCAGTTGTGTTGTGGCTGATAGTGATGATACCAGGTACCTTGAATCATTCTTTTTTCCATGTAATAACATTTCGTTCGCGGCATTGAAAGTTTAACACTGTTTTGTTTGGGTGTCAGTATATATTTTGCATTGAGTAAATAATGAACATGAATATAACGAATTGTCGGATATATCGAAGTGTTTTTGTTCCGTCGACGTATGTTTTAGTCGAACTTTGCATAACAAACTGCGGTAAAAATGAACTATAATCTTGGACCCTTCGACGGTGGTTTACTGTACAAATTTCCATTTCTGAACCACTCTGAAGTTTCCTTGAATCCTGATGGATCTACATTATTTTAATGACTGGATCAACACAGAAGAGTAATGTAAATTCGCAAGCACCCTTGATACGGCTATAGCCCGGGAAAGCCACATTGAAGCATCAACAGCAAAGGGCATGGTTGAATGATCGTCTGAATGTAGCTCTCCCGACAATCCGCTATTAGCTAATCCATGTTACCGTATACAAAATGGGTATCAAATATTGAAATATCATTATGTAAAATCTAGAAACCTAGTTGAATTGTTCGTGGAGAAAAGTCCAGATCACGCAAACTAACTGCCGCGCGTAGGTACTCAAACACCTTTTACGAATTATTTATGATTATTCAACAAATTATTGCTTTGAAGCATTTTAATGTATGGGAAGGGTCAAAAGAATTCAATGTTTTACCATTTTCTGATGACTGTTTGAGATAAGAGCTATTGTTGCCCACGATATTATGTTTACATCCATGCTAAAAGTGTGGTTTTAGCGGCAATTGGTATTTTGCAAATGTAGCTTTCCCGGGCGGACACCCTTGGTACATACCCATGTTGACAAATTCTTATGCATGCGTAACATCAATTGAGATGAACAAGCTACACTGGAGACGATATATGTTACTGATAATTATCATGAAAAGGGTAGGAAGCCTTACATTCTGAACAACAATCAATGACAGTTCAGGGCATGTTTACAGCTTCAATCAATACAGACGCAATTACGTGTTTGGAAGTATATGCGTGGGGAGAAAAGGCATGACCTCACAATAATATGAAGTAAAATTCGATTGATATCTTAATGTACCTTGCTCCTTATCTGTATTTTCATAAATTGTTTATATCATATGCTGGAAGTCTTATCTAGCAAAAGGTGATGCGCAAAATATCCCCCAAAAGAATTTCGTTACTTATACTACTACTACTACTACTACTACTAGTAGTCAGGCTCCCCATTGTTCTCGGTGCCCTTGGTTTGGTACCTCCTGATGTCTTGGCGCAGATCAGGAGGGTGCTCGGGTTCTCCACCGGGAGTACAGCCCTTCTGACACTCTGGGTAATGCAGAAGTCTGCAGTGTTGGGGAGCCTTCATATTCTCCGGAAAGTTCTTGGTGGGTTCGACTAGGCAGCGTTTCCTGGGAGAAGTCCCATTCGCTGTCTGGGCTGCGTGTAGAGAAATAAAATAGTAATAACCGAGGGCTTTCTTTTTGCTGCTCAGGACCAGTCACCTCCCACTCGTAATCGCAAAATGTGATTCTTTAAGAAAATATTAACATGAAATGCAGACTGTGTAATGAATTTACAGAGACTCTCCAACACCTTGTCAGTGGATGCCCTTCCTTGGCACAAACCTCATATCTGAAACGACATGATGTCATGGCTTGCTGCTTTTACTATCGTCTTCGCCATTCCTGTGGCTTTGACTCCGAGGTCCATCCATGGTACGACCCTGAACATGTCCAGGGCGTCATGGAAATTAATGCTTTCAAACTTCTCAGGAACAGGCCCATATACAGCCTCATAAGAATTCCTGCCAACGGACCTGATCTTGTCCTTTTTGATAAAGCCAATGAATACATTTATATCATTGAATTTTCTGTCCCTTTTGACACCGATGTGATAAGCATGATAAATATGCGGACCTCGCCTTTGAAATGTCTTGCTTGCATCCCAAGTACACTGTCGTCAGGCTCCCCATTGTTCTCGGTGCCCTTGGTTTGGTATCTCCTGATCTCTTGGTGCAGATCAGAAGAGTGCCCGGGTTCTCCACCGGGAGTACAGTCCTACTGACACTCTGGGTGATGCAGAAGGCTGTAGTGTTGGGGAGCCTTCATATTCTCCGGAAAGTTCTTGGTTGGTTCGACTGGGCAGTATTTCCTAAGAGAAGTCCCATTTGCTGTCTGGGCTGCGTGTAGAGGGGGCAAGGGCCCTGAGCTGATGATGAGCCTTACCAGGCTAACTGTGCCAGGATCACCCGAACCCTCTTTGCTGCATTTTCATCTTTAATCTGTAAAACATAATAATAGTGGTTTATTATATTGTCATGTGTTACAAATTATGAGGCATCTTAGTACAACATGTAAAATACAAACACCAGGCGTCGAGAGGCCGAAATGACACCTTAAAAAGGAATATTACAATATTTAAAATGCATAAAGAAGAGACATTGTTCGCATAAATATATGCATCTAGATACGTACATAGATACATGCATTGATACTGACATCGTTACATACGTACATAGATACCTACATACATACATACCTACATTCACCCACACACACCAATCCATACACACACCCATCAATACATGCTTGCATATAATACATATAATTCATACACACAGACACACCTACACACCTACTTGCCTATAAACACACACACACACATCCCTCAACATACAAAGCCCAGGCTTATCTACATAACCACATCATATGTGCCACACCATACTATTACATACAAACAGTACAACCAGAAATTATTGAGAATTTAAAGATTATAATTATTTAAATTTTTTCACTCATTACTCACGTATTAAATGTGAATATCAGCAGAACATAACTCCAGATTCAAAGACAGGTGAACAGTTAGTATTTTGTCAAGTCACCATGGGCAGCAATGCAGGCTTCAATGTGGCTGGGCATACTCCTGATCAAAGAAGTTAGAAAGTCGTGGTCCATGCTGTCCCAATATCGGACCACCTCTTTTTTCATTTCAGAAATATTTGTCAGATTTTTCTGATTGACACTTTCCTTCATAAGTCCCCAAACATTTTCTATTAGATTTAGGTCAGGGCTATAGCTTGGCCAATCTAATAATGTCATATTTTGGGCCCTAAACCAAGCCTGTGAATGCTTTGAACGATGTTTTGAGTCGTTGTCCTGCTGGAAAATCCAACAATTTCCATAGAACATGTGAGCAGATGGAAGTAAATGTCCCTCGACAATATCTGTGTACCGCTCACTGTTCATATTCCCTTCAAATACACAGAGGGGCGTTGCCCCTAACACAGATATGCCACCCCACACGTTAACCTTCGGACTGTACTTTGGGCGCAGATACAAAGTTTTTTCAGCTTCTTTCGTCAAGAATTTCAGTGTATTAGGAAACAGCCACACAGAACTTTCATCTGAGAAAATCACATTGTCCCAGTTAAAATTTCTATGCTGTAAGCACCAGTTCAACCTTCGCTCCTTTTGTTCAGGTTTCATTATCGGTGATGAAATTCCTCGACTTTTCTGCCAACCAATTGCATGCAGCTCAGTTCTACTAGTCTCCTTACAGACAGCCGCAGTTCCTCTATCAATCATATCCAGCCTTAAGTTTTCTAAACGCCTTCGTTTGTTTTTAGAAACAAAAATACCAAGCCGCCTCCTGTCACCGACAGTCAATTTTCTGGGCCTACCTGCGCCTCCTTGGTGCTCAATGCCGTATCCATTTGCAATATTTTTCAAAACATGATAATCAGTGGACTAAAGGAAGCCTGTTCTTCTTGAAATCACTTTAGCTGATCTGATGTCCTTGTTATAATACTCTAAAATCAACTTCCTCTTCTCTAACTCATCCATACTGAGGATCACTGAAAATGTCGTCTGCTAGCAAGTAAACGAAGGGGGATAACACAAACTAATGAAAAGGGATTAACGGAGTTGTCTCTCTTGAATGAAACCAAGCACTTGATAGCTGGTCAAGGTTGTTTATACTAGAAATCCAATTAAACATATTCCTAAAATACACACACACACACACACACACACACACACACACACACACACACACACACACACACACACACACACACACACACACACACACACACACACACACACACACACACACACACACACACACACACACACACACACACACACACATGCGGGGCAGGCTTCCACTGCGATCACACTTATATCACATGATTAAATGCGTTGAAGACTGCATTTAATTCAGGCTACCCTTTGTGTACATACAGTGACAGAAGTCAATATCATCGTTAACTGTCATCTCGGTGTAGAATCATAACGATGACACAGCATCGAGGCAGCTTTATCTGGCTATGTATGTATTTATTCACCCCCCTAATGACAAATATTGACTCCATACGTTAATCGCTTATTGTTACGTTGACAGTAAGAAATCTTAATGCATTTAGCGTTATATGGAAGTGTATGTGTGACAACAGCAGGGGTCGTATTGGTTATTGTTACGTGTTTGATGCCTGGTAATTGTATGCTTCAAACGTGTATTTTTAAACGCTGTTTTCGGAAGCAATACCTTCTGAAGCCTTGTATTTTGGCATTTGTGAGGCAGGCATGTCGTCTTACGCAAATGCTACGGCGTGTGTTCTGGGTGAATGTTTCTTGTCGTCATGCCTAGTTTTTTTCCGAGCGAGATCACTTTCTTATATTAAAGATCACATATACTTTAGGGGGGTACAAATACATAAATCACTAATTGGCATCGTTATAAATGAAACTCCGTCATTAAAACTACTCATTTCGATCTTTAATTAACTTAAATCGACCTTTTTGAAAACACTGCACAATTCTCACCCGCGAACGAAATTTCAACCAATCAGAGCGGCACGTCTCAGTGGCGTCATATGAGGAATAGATATGAAGACCGATGCAGAATTCATGTACATTTCAGAGGGTAAATTATCTTGTTTACAGGTTTGTATAAACCTGAAATCGGGACAACTGTTGTAAAAAATGAAAGCTATATGTTCTCACAATCTACTGTCATTTAATTTTGTCTCTTGCTTTGCCTAGGTTCCGAGTTACAACTTGTTTTCATCCACGATTCTGTCAAAATCGCTTGGTGTCGCTAGGTGAAAACGATGATCAGCCTCGCTCATCACGGTTATGGTTAATTTCTTCAACCTAAACAGTGCGACATTAAGAAGGGTGGATGCCCATCAGATGCAGTTATTTGAAAATATCCCCGGTAGTTCTTGTCTGATTGTAATAAAGTATCAAAGCAGTGTGGGCTTTTTCAGGTTTTCTAATGCCTGGATGGTATAATGACTGATCCAAATTGATCCCATTTCTGTGTTTTTTACCTCGATATTTAATCATGTCATGTAAAAATATGACGTCTATTACGTATGATATTAGAAATTGACATTTGATTTACTTGAATCCGTAAACTAAACAGCCCTACTTTGCCATTGCTAGAACAATCTGAAAGTTTACTTAGGTAAATAGGTACATACAGTTTTAGCTCACAGCAAATGCTTATATGCATTTTTATGCAACAATGAAGTTTTGTTTGTATTCTCAAAACAGTGTCGGCCCATAAGTTTTCACATGCAAATAAAATGGCATGCAATACAGCAAGTAATACTCCCTTGTTGTAACCCGTGTAAGGTGGTACAAACCTACAAGTTATTTGTCATCATTCACTTGATGGTCAGTTAAAAATTTATAACGGGTATAATTAGTGGTAACGCCACTTAGATTACCTGACAAAGGTTCCCACTTGGCATTTCTTGTGTCTGGAGTAAATAGTCAACATTATAAACATCGATCAAAGGATTAACCGATAACACGCAGCGGATTTGTCAAAAGGTAGTGTTTATGTATGTAGATTTACTGCGATTAACCGCCAATACATTGATTGATTGCTCATTACTGGCTAACTAAATTACTTTTTTAAAGAAAGGCGGACATCATGCAATTAGTTGCCAGGTGTGCTATCTTGGGTGACCAGTGAACCTATACATCAATGTGAAATACCTGAAACGATATGTCACTTTTTCGTATATTAGACACATCTCTTGGAACAGCTGCAGATGAATGGCATTTCACTCGTTTTTGTGGATATTGATGGATACATTCCTCGAACAAGGTAATAGCCTGACATTGTTCCTATAACTTTAATGTTTTAATTTAATATTTTCATTTTGTTTTTATTCATTTGTGGTAGCATTCAACAGTCATTGTTTTCGCCGTGAGGTGTAATGAGACAGACAACATACACTAGGGCGTGTGTGCGAATTATGATTCACATTGGCAAACTATAAAATGGCTAGATATTACAGTCCTGTTATAAATTCACTATAAGTATCAGCAGATCGTTTGCTTTTTATTTAGTTTCAAAATGCATACAAGTATGATTTAAACTAATTAGGATTATAATACCAAATATAAAGACGTACATTGACTAGTATCTACCTACTGGTGAGTGGACGTTAACCACGTGAATGTAGCAAGAAATTTATCGCGCAGTATTGTGACTTCGACCCCCACCTCGCTTCCGTGGAAGAAATCGTTGTTATAAGTTGTGTAATGCAAAATCCTTTTGGTCATGATTCCAAATACATATTTAACTACGAGTAGAAAATAGTTTTGATTTTCTAACTTGATGAAAACAAACCATAATCTCATTAATTCTAACAGAATTTAAGCCTCTGACTTTACGATTTTCAAAAATGGCGGCGCCCTGTCGCGAACATCCGCCAGTCTGCGGATAAATGCTATTTAGGTTTATTTTCACCTAGTTACAAAATCAAAACTACTTTCTACTGGTAGTAAAATATGTATTTGATTGATGGGCAATAGGATTTTGCATGACATAGCTTATAACATAACAACTTCTCTCGTGGAAGCGAGGTGGGTGTCAATATAATACTACTTACAGTATTGTTGTTACTTCGACCACAATCTCGCTTCCGAGGAAGATGATGTCGTTGATGTCGAGAAATCATCAAAATGACGAGCTTGCTACACACTTTCTATACAACTAACTGAAAATCCTTCCTCATATGACGTCACTGCACTGCGGGCGAGAGTGAAGCAGGCGACTTTTAATCGCTCGGTATTAATTAACCACAAGTTTTTTAAGAATGAATTTGGTGTTCCGCATACGACTAACCACAACTCTTCATATGTAATAGTTAAAAGAGTAAAAAAAAATCGTTAAATAACATGTACTGTTAATCAATATTATCAAAAAACCTCCAGGACTTCACCAAGAGAAAACTGGCAGAGGCAGTTCAAATCCGCCGACACAAGCTCTCAATCAACAGAGACCAAGGATACCTCATTCAATCCGCCTACAATAAACTGATAAAAAAACAACAGAACAGAGCACCCCAGCCGTCATTGCTAATTAATTTCATCTGCTATGTACACCTTGTCCCGCCTCCTCAACATTGGCTTCCTCCCTTTGTTATTGTATTATTACCTATCCCATTGTTGTTGTTGTTAATCCCTTTGATGACTTACTTAATCCCTGTTACATGTATATAAGTCTGCTCTGTGCTGTATTACTTTACTCTTGCTTGACAACAGTATAAGAAGCTATACCGAAACGTCGCATCATAATAAATAAAGAAGTTGTTATCCATAAAGTATTATACTTTTCTAAATGATATGTAGATAACCTAATTTTTCTTCATAACATACCAAAGCGATTTGTAAACCATCATTTTAACAAACATGTTAATAATGACTTGAAAAGATATAAAAAACAATGATGTTTATGTGTCATAAGTAGACCAAACAGTTCGACATGAAGTAAATATATATATATATATATATATATATAATTTTTTCGAAATATAATATTTATAAACAAACAAAAACATTCAAAATAACGGATATGCATGTTCAACATTACAAAGTGATTGTGTCCTCATTATTCCCTTGTTTCGGTGTTATTACTACGTCGAAGTTACGTGTTGATTCCCAAGTTGAACTAATACAATAGTTATCCAGAGATATGTCTGAAACATAACTGGTGTGAAACTAAAACAACAACAACAACAAAGTGATGGGATGTAATTAACATTTTTATATTCTCAAGTCAACCCAGTTTATAAATACAAATTGAATACGAATCACTACAAAGCAGTGATTACAGCAATAAGGATAATGGTGGTAATATACATCTCACTGCAACAATAGCCTTGTTTCCAAAATAAGCTGAGTATCCTTGGTAAGAATTGCTGGTCTTCTTGGAACTTGATATGTAATTTAAGGTTCCTTTATAAACATAAAAATACTTCCTGGATCAGAAAAGCATACATAATTGTAGTACCTTCCAGACTCGGTTTCTTTAAATATAGCACACAACTGCCCATCAATGACTATCTGCATACATCTGTAAATTTGGAACATTATTATAGAATGAATAACACTAACATAACATGTTCCATGTTTGTTTTTAATCTCTTCTCAAAGAAAAGAATGTTAATATCCTGTTCATTCTAGACTGTAATACGAATGGCCAAATATCTTATTAAATTATACAAAAGAGGACTTTTCGTCTCTGATTTGTATGTCTTATATCAGTGACTGAACACTGGTTTTGATATTATCACTTGCAGGACCAAACCCCAAAAGCGCCTAAGGACAGTTCACCTAGACACCTCCATTTTAATTATCCAGACTATAACTTAAAAAAGCAGTCAACTATAACTTTCAATCACTTATCACAAAACCAGGGTGCCTGCGCAAAGAGAAGAAACTGAACAATCGCTCACCTATTGCATCCGTAGGCATCACATATTCGTCTCTAAAAATATCTGAACGATTGTAGCCCTTTTTGTACAGGTATGTCATGAAGCCATACTTATACAGTTGTTTTTTTCAAACGCTAGGATGAAATAAGTATAATTAATATAAATAATATGTACTTTACGTTTTGTCGAACAATCCGGATCACTGAAATGTGTCAAATCATTGAAGATGTATGTGAGTATGAAATACTATTAATGTTATCGTTGCCTCACTACCATTTGTCAACACTATTTTACAAATGATATCTTGGTATTAAACAGCTAACATACACTTGCATTAAATTGTGTTTCAAGAGACAGCAGCAAATTCTCTGATCTTAAAACTCCTGGACCATATTCAGGGTATCGAAGCATGTACTTGGACGAGACAACCTTTCCTAGAACTGTTCCATCAATCTTTCATAGCTCATGACTAAACATGGAATGGCGATATGGAAACTTTTATCTGTTCTGACTGAATACTGAAAGGTTTGTGATCAGCAGTCACTTTGATGACAATTCTTCACCATGTTGCTTTCGGTCGAATTTACAAAATGTGGTCACTTGTCGGAAATGCCCATGTCTGTCTCTCTAATTCCTAAAGAATATGAATCGTTCAGAAAGCCTCATTTCACAGCATCAGTTTGTCCATGTATAAAACCACCACAAACATTACAATTCATTACCAAAAAAAAATGTAAAAGGAGTCAAATCAACTGTAATGTTCCATTCGGAATTTTACCAAAGATAAAATATCCTATTTGTTTTTTTTTTGTGGGTATTTTTATGAATCTCTGATGTGAAATATTACAATAAGATAATGATATACTGCTAAGCTATCAAAGGTTGACGAGGAGAAGTATTTTAAATGCTTATCCGATACTGAAGATGATCTGCTAAAATATTTTTCACAACATATACAAAAGTAATCCCTGCACCAGACGTATCTGTAACAACTGTAAATGAATATGAAACGTCATAAGAGAACCAGCAGGTGATCTGTTAGCAATGGGTCATTCACAAGTGTTGTAACTTGAACATTCGTCGATGGTGTACTTGGACCATCCGACAGCTCCTGCTGCATCTTCAGGGTTTGTTGCTAGGAGACAGTTTGGATCAGTTGTTGGGTGGTAACTGAAACTCAGACAAGACTTGTTTGCGTAACATCGGGAACTACAATCAGCGGCGGAAGTAACTGCGAGTGACGTCATAGGTGTTGACACTTTAATGTTGGGCTCCTTACTGTACATAGTCACTGAAAGTAAACAGTCTCATTAAAAATATATAATTAAACATCACATTAACACCATAATATATTAGGAAATGTGAATAGCAACACAATGTGACGCCAAATAGTTACATTTCGTTAAGACATTTGTATGGGGAGAAACAGCTTACGAAACAAAACACCAATAGTTAAACGTGATTAGGTGCAAACAATGATAACACATTTAACACATAAGTCATAACATAATTTTGTTTAGCAACATTCCTTATGTTTGTAATGTAATTGTAAAGGAAGTTCAAACTGCATACATCTGGCATGAAATATTTTACCCCATAAGAATACAATTTCTTGGAGAAAAATATGTTTTGTGATAAATATACATGTTTAGATCTGGAATGGCTTTTCACAGATATCCTCGATTCAAGTCCCATGAAAACCTTATGCATAGTTCCCATACATGCTTACATGTAATGATGGGATAGATGAAAATCGGGAGGGTCATGGTTGGAGACTGGATTGGATATCTTGTGTCAGCACACTATTAAATTGTGTTTACTTTTAATTCTCACAATATCGAGTTTCTTCAAAATACATTTCAGGAAATCAGGAAATTGTTTTGTGTGTCCTTCTGCCAAGCTTTCACGTTTTAAGCTTATTCATAATGACGCTATATGACCACACTGCATGCTGATATGCGTTTGATGACTCAAATTTACAGGCAGATCGATGCTTGTAAGTGAAAACAATAGGTTGATAGATGGTTAAATACCCCGGAGAGGATAAACAGGTAACTACCACAGTATTAGAAAGAGACTAGTTATAGAAATGGTGATTTAGTGCTGTAAATCAAACATATATTACCACGTGTTGCCACTGGAGTCCCTTGCACCACAACCTCTGAAACAACCAATTCTCCAGTCAGGTTTCTCCAGACCTTCACGAATCTCACTGGCCGTGGATGGGAACAAGTGAACGTGAAGGTTTCTCCTGTACCAACTACTTCTGGACACTGGCCGCAGATGAAGATGTCGTCGTCCGGACAACCACTGTTGCCATCGGCGCGCACCTCCACGTATGCACTCCCAAGCTCACTTCCTGTTTGAGTCAAGATAAGACGTTTTTCAAAATATCCATAACCTGGCTCTAAGAATCTATGATTTTAGGTTTTGTAGTTAAGGATAACAATAGTGACATACATCAGAAAGAAGAAATCTGTATATTATATACTTCCTTTCAAACGTTTAGACCATAACAGATAGTGCGTGTTTTAAGTAATATGTACATAACAGATAGTGCGTGTTTTAAGTGAGTCTAAACGTTCGAAAGGAAGTGTTGTTAGCAAATATTGTGCATGTGAACAGCTGCGGTTTTGGTGTAAAGTTTTGTTAAGAATTCGCCAATTTTCACTGATTTATTGAACTCATGATAATGACCTTTCAATGTTACGACTTTGGTTTACAATACATCAGTTCATGTGTAAACAGTACCCTTAAACAGTATGGAATATTTTGCAAAATTTATTTTAGAATAGTTGCTTGAAGTAAGTGACTATACTTACTCTAGTGAGTCTAAACTTTTGAAAGGAAATGTATAATGTCACCGGTGAGCTAGCAATTGTTTGGATTAGCTTCTGTAATATGTACTTGGCAACGACGAACGTTATCATTGAGTGAGTGAGTGAGTTTAGTTTTGCGCCTCTTTTAGCATTATTCCAGCAATATCATGGCGGGGGACACCAGAAATGGGGTTCACACATTGTACCCATGTGGGGAATCGAACCCAGGTCTTTAGCGTGACGAGCGAACGCTTTCACCACTAGGCTACCCCACCGTCTATACCGTTATCAAGCTAACGATGCCTAGTACAGTTTTCCCGGAACGTATTGAGAAAATAATTTTGAAATAGATGTTACATTAGGTAGTAAGGTACTCAGTATGGGATGCAACCCTTGTAGGCTTAAGACTGGACCTTACTACGTCATGAGTTATCTCCCCTTGTGTAACAGACGACGTTCTTTGTTGACGTGGCAGATTTTATTTGACAGCAGCTGGTTCTAGATGATTTTGAAAGTTGTGTGACAAAATAGTTAGCTGGTAGACATGCCATTCCCTTGTCTACTGTATACAGAACGTTGAAAATTTTTCAGTCAGGAATTGGGATTGAGCACAAGACAGGGGCAGGGAGGCCAAGGAAGTTCAGTTACTACGGATCGCCGGCGACTTGGTCAGATTGTGAGTAGGGGAAAATTGAAAAGCGTTGAGAAAATCAGAAATGAGATGATTAATAGAGGAAGTCCTCAGGTATGTAATGAAACCCTTAGACAATCATTACACAGATTTCAGGGTGAAAAAGCGCGGAATTCCCTCACCATTGATGAAAAATGAACCAAAAGAAAGACTTTTAAACTGGTGTAGGGTTCACGGAAAGCAGATTGGGATAATTTTCTGGTGAAAGTTCTGTCTGACTTTTTCCGAACTGTGTGAAAAATTGGGCAAAAGATACCGTGAAATCTATCTGACAACGCCCAAAACATAGTCCGAAATTTCTATTGTGGGGTGGGATATCATCACGTGGAATGACGGCGTTGTGTATTTTCACTGGAAATTAATTTGACGACGGAACGATATGTTGACATCTTAAATGATCACCTTCTTCCAACGGACCGAACACTGTATGAAGATGTTTGGATTTTCCAGCATGCTAACGACCCAACATACACTGCTGGCTACACAGAACAGTGGTTTACGATTGGCCCAGCTACAGCCCAGATCTGAACCCTATTGCGAATGTGTGGGGACTAATGAAGGACAGAATAAACCAAAAAGGACTGAGAAATATTGAGGATATGAAGATTGAAGTGGTCGAATATTGGGATACGCTGTCACACGATTTCCTACGAACTTTGATTGGTAGTGTACCTAGGCGCATTCAGTCGTGCTTTGCAGGACAAGGAGGTCTCACAAAGTACTGAAAATGCACTTAGACTGTAAGAGAATCATATCTCAACATATTCATTTAAGTAAAACTTCTATAGTTGATATACATGTATATGATATTTGCCTAAACAACTTTCTCAGTAATTTCTGGGAATACTAGATACTAATACTATTATAGAACACGTATATATGGATGACAACTTCTTTTATTCTAGAGCACGACGTTTCGATACAGGTTCTTGTATCGTTTTCAAGTATTTACATACTTGAAAACGACGTTTCGATACAGGATCTTGCACGATACAAGAACCTGCATCGAAACGTCGTGCTCTTGAATAAAATAAGTTGTCATCCATATATACTTGTTCTATCATACTTCCAAGTTCTAAAAATGTCACTCAAAGAAGGTACTAATACTATTACTTACGCAATATTTACACTTCCTGAACCATGACTGCAGGTGAGTCTTAGACAATACTCACAATGATATCGAGGTTAACGGTACTTTAGATTCTATATAACATAAAGTGTATTCCGAAACCGACTCACCAAAACTATAAGAGACGTCACTTGTAACTGAGATGTTGTGGATAGTGAAGTTTCCCTGTAGATCCCCCTGCCAGTAGGGATTCTCATTGGGCCAAGTTCTAGCTGGTGTGGATCCTGGGTTGTTGTTTCCATCATTGGCAAAGTCAGCGTTCCAGTAGGTTTCGCTGACTTCACTGGGCTTTGCCAGCATAATGTTCTCCGCCTTGATTACGAAAACACCTAAAACACATTTTTTTGGGAACAAATTGAAATTCATCATGGAATTTGATCAGAGACGATGATAACAATTTGAATGTCCATGTCCAAACTCGCATCTCGTCTATCGACATTATGAGTATCGATCTTCGTAAGCTGGATAAGATTACATTTTACCCGTTTGCGTGCGTGCGTGCATGCGTGCGTATGGTTGCCACCTTAAGATTGTGCAAAACAATTACTGGATCCGTGATCACAATACGTAATTGTGTCCATTCAGGAAGTTTTTTAATGTATAGTTTTTTTTAACAGCATTACAAGACAATTCAGTAGAAGGGTGAAAACGTTATAGACCTGTGATACGGCTACTGGGGACGGTTCGCATAAAATGTTTGGCAACAAATATGTGTCTTTCTTTCTTCATCATATTGCTACCGTACGCACGCATGCATGCACGCACGCACGTAAACAGACAATCTTATCCAGATTACAAAAATCGGTGCTCTTAATGTCATTACACGAACGGGGACAAAGGGCTTCAGTGGCCATTGCGTCTTTCGCGACGCTGTGAGCAGCATCCAACGCGTGCATGCTCGCTCATTATGAACTGTTCTTCCCGCATGACGGGACATTGCATTGATTCGTTTACTTCTGTATCATTGAATTGTGTCAGAACCATCACCATTGAGTTAGTGAGTTAGATTGTTAAGTCACATCGGCAAAATTTCAGCCATATTGTGACTAAATCAAATTACAGATTTATAGTAATTGAAAGGAAATATAAAAGGCCGGTCAACGAAGGACAGTAAAACAACTAAACTATCACAAATTTAAAACTAGTTATTAAATAAAGAATATATTAGCTATAAATGACAAGATATTTTTATGGATTAAACATCTTTTTAATTTCTCTCACGACGTTTCGAGACCATTCCAGGTCCCTTCATCAGGTGAACTGTTACTTGAAACAGTAATAACAATAATAATTAACTTATAATTAAAAATAATTGTTATTCTAAATGCCACTGAAAGAGTGAGTGAGTGAGTGGGAATGGCTTAACGCCGCTTTTAGCAATATTCCAGCAATATCACGGCGGGGGACACCAGAAATGTGCTTCACCCATTGTACCCATGTGGGGAATCGAACTCGGGTCTTCGGCGTGACGAGCAAACGCTTTAACCACAAGGCTACCCCACCGCCCCGCCACTGAAAGACATTATAAATGACAAGACAATATAAAATCAGGCTATAGATTGCCAACAACTGAAAGTAGATCACCATACTAGGGACCATGGAGATTTACAGTGCATTTGCTTCCTGCATGGACCCTAGATGGGTTTACACCATCCCTTGATTTATTGATTTAAACATATTTTATTCACAAATGTGAAAGGGATTGGGGACAAGTTATCCAACTTAAAATACCCGCTCCCTAATATTTACATACATACAATTTCAATTATGTACATCTTAGGAAAGAATACAGAGAAGAGATAGGAAAGTAAAAGGGAGAAGAGAGGAAGGGATACGACTTATGTGATCACTCAAAACGTTTTGATTGATGAATAAAAGTTTGCACACATTTGAAAATGCATTCATTCTGTTGAATAGTCAGGTCAGGACTTCCAAGTAACATCAGTGACAATGTGATTGGAGAATCACGTTTTACAATATTTTTAATATTTAACATTAATATCTCTCTTTGAATGCTGTACAGTCTACATTCTAATAGGAAGTGATGTACATTTTCACAAGCATTGTCACAGTAACAAGAAGCAGAATCTTTCATGTTGAAACGACACAGATCATAATTTAACTGACTAGTCATATATCTCAACTTTGTGTGAATAATATTAAATTTTCTAATACCAAACGAGTAATATGATGGAGCTATAGGTTGTTCACCCTTTAAATATGACTTGAAACTTTGTAATGAAGGTCGATTTCTTTCGGAAACATTATTCCATATTCTTACAGTTGATGGAAAAAAAGGAATCATACGAAAGTCTTAACCTTGCAGAAGGAAGGATAATATTGTTAGCATTCCTAAAGTTATAGTTAGATCTGGATCCCACACTATCTGGAGTAATATCTTTTAAGTATACAGGAGCTAAATTATTTTGAATTTTATAAAATAGACAAAGTTTTCTTTTTTTCCTTCGTTCATCCAGTCTTTCCCACCCTGTCTCATAATATAGAATTTCCAGTTTGTTTGGAAATTTAAACCAGATAAAGTCAAGAGAGATACAATGTCACTACAGCCTAAGTATGGTGGCATAAGTGTACCCATATTAGAAAAGTTATTGCAGCTCAGAAACTTTGTTGGATCAAAAGACTATCTGTTAGTAAGTCCAAATGGGCATGTTTCTTTTGTGATCATTTAGTTGAGGCAAAATAGTAAATTTGGCTGATGCTTTCTACACAGAAAACAATATTGTCCAAAATATCCACAAACAATTTTGGAAAGAAACACTGTCAGTATATGCATCATATTTAAATTGTTGTGATAATATGGAACTATCTGTTACGGATGTATTGAATAAGTCAATCTGGTACAATAATAACATAACAATTGATAATAAGCCCGTATATATTTTCCCATTGGTATGAAAAGGTATAACATATATTAACGATTTCTTCAACGATACAGGAAATTGGTTTAATTTCCATGAATTTATTCAAAAAATGCTTTGAATACAGACTATTTAACATTTCAAGGGTTGAAACAATCTATCGCCCAATACTTACAAAGAATTAACTTTAGTCAAATACAAGACATCTCTCAAACACCAATATTACCTTATAATATTTCTAAAATCAACAGTACCAGTAGTAGATTATTTTATGAAATGTTGCAAAATTCTAAATTTACAAAACTTAAAAGCTATAGCAAATGGAAACTTTATCTTAATAAACACATTACTGAAACAGAATGGATAAACTATAGTTTGATGGCAAAAGATGTACACAAAGCAGTGACTTAAGATGGTTTTCAGTTTAAGATTTTACATAATATTCTCAGCACTAATTGTTATTTATATAAGATTGGCTATGTTAAGTCACCAGCACGTTCATTGTGTAAAGATCCAGCTGAAACTATAGCACATGTGCTTTGTAATTGTCAATATGCAATAGATATTTGGACAAAATTTACTAAATGGATTGAAGGATACATCGAAAGTAAAATTCATTTAAGTGAAGAACATATATTATTTGGATTTAAAGGTAAGCATAATAATCCTCTTAATGTGGTGATAATAATAATCAAATATATGTTGTATAAATGTAGTAAGAAAGCAGTGAACCCTAATTTTATATGGTTTCAAAAATAAGTATTAAAATATTATGAAATCTCAAAATTTATTGCCTTTTCTAATTGTAACTATGCAAGTTTTCATTCTTTCTGGTCATCCTTCCATTTACTTTTTTCGAAATACTATAACTGACTGAATGTAACTACATGTATTTTGTATATATGTGTACTATATATATATAAGAGGTAATGTACACATTATGTATTTACATCAACACTACTCACTGTACACTTAAAATACTTTCAATGAACATAAAGCTGCTGTAATGGAATTTAACCCGTGAGGTATATCTAGGAAGACCCGTAACTATTCTGGCAGCTTCTAACTGAAGTTTCTCTAAGTTTTCCTTCTGTTGTACGGTACAACCATCCCATAATTCACAAGCATATTCAAAGTGTGGTCTGATAAATATCTTATAAATATTGTTGATTGTATTTCTGTTTAGTAAATATTTCAATTTTCGCATTGATGATATCATTTTGGAACACGACTTAATACTTTGATTAGTGTGACAAGACCATTTGCCGTTTGCTTCTAATGTTATTCCGAGATGTTTATGATTGTTTATGATTGTTTACGTCAAAAATAATTTCAATTTTCAGTTTCATCAATCATGGAAAACAAATTCTGTTTTGCAGGAATATCTTCAGTTTCATCAATTATGGCGTTAAGAGAAACAATTCGATGATTTTCTGCTTCTTGTTACACAATCTAATCATCAGCAATATCGTTAACATAGACCACGAATAAAAAGGGTCCCAATACTGATCCCTGGGGGACGCCAGCTGTTAAATACCTGGGCTTGGATATAGCTCCATTTACAAAGACGTGTTGACTGCGATCACTTATATAACTCGAAATCCATTGTAAAAGCTGGCCTCTAATACCGTACTGCTCTAATTTAAGTACAAGCCCTTTGTGCCCACACACGATCAACAGCTTTGGATACATCGCAAAATATCATACAATATTTTTCTTTGCTGTCTAGAGATGTACAAATATGATGGTAAAGTTCAATTAATTGATGGACAGTTGAATGACCTGCTTTAAACCCCGATTGGTACTCATATAAAAGTTTGTTAACATGGAAAAAGTTATACAAGTGTTTATATACAACTCTTTCAAATAGTTTTCCTACACAACTTATAAGAGAAATAGGTCCATAATTGGAAACAATAGAGTAATCACCTTTCTTATACAGTGGCATGACATGTGCACTTTTCCACATATTTGGATACACACTATGCTTTAATGATAAATTGAACAGTAAAACAAGGGCTCAAATATAGAATCAACGGTGTTCTTTAATAATTTATGACTTATTCTATCCGGCCCTGAAGCTTTGTTTAGCTGCAAAATTTTATAACAATAGATATTTCCTTCTTAGAAATTAATATTTTTTCTAACTGCGTGTTGGTCCTTGAGGGAAAATGTGGTAATGGTACATCTTTATCATTCAATCGAGATATTGATTCGAAATATGTATTAAGTTTTTCAGCTTTTTCTAAATCAGAAACCAGCGTTGGGAATTTATCATCAATATTCTGCTTGACAGGAGGAATATGCGAAGTAGAGCCCGAGTTTTTTTAACAATATAACGTAATTATTTCCAATATGAAGATTTATTTTCAGCATATAATTCAAAAGTAGGCCATTAATATTAGAATAAAAGTTTTCTTTCACATAACATTTCATGTTGTTTACTCCATTTCTCTGATGTTAATAAGTTTTTTTTATCGCTCTCTTTTTTAGTTTCCTTCGCCTTGCTCCGTAATCGGTCTCTTTTTCGGGATTCTCTCCTCAAATTAGAGTCATATCATGGTTTGTCATTTGGACAAATAGTTACTATTTTTGAAGGAATACATGATTTCACATGTTGAGTAAATTTGGTATAAAATAGTGAACAAGCATCATTAATATCTGAACATCCATCATATAACTTTTTCCATTCTGTATTTTCTATAAGATAATTGAGCATTTCATAATCACCCTTATTGTAACACAAGATTTCTCGCTTATAAGCTATGTTATTACATAAATGTGTACTTATGTTTACAAACGTTCCTCTGTGATCACTTATATTGCTGACCGCCTCCGTGATGTAGTGGTTAGAGCGTCCGCCCGGAGAGCGGAAGGTCGCGGGTTCGATCCCCGACCGCGTCATACCAAAAGACGTTAAAATATGGTACTTGTTGGTCCCTGCCGGGCGCTCGGCATTAATGGGTACAACAAGGACTTGTCGGCTCGGAGTCAGTATAATGTGTCTGAGTGGGGTATTCATGCTTCACTGCGGCATGGTATCTCAGTGGGCTAGCACTATAAAACCAGCTTAAGTCTGGGCTAGTACAAGCAGCCGCACATACACATACACACGCATGCACGTCGTCATATGAGCGAAATATTCTCAAGCACGACGTTAAACCCAATTTCATCTCACCTCACCTCACTTATATTGCTATCAAACTCAACAACACCACTGTAAACAAAATCAATGTCTTCACTGACAATTACTGGATCAAGCAAAGTACTGGTTGTTTTGCTAACTCTAGTGGGTTCAAATATAACATTTCTTAAGTTATTCATAACCAAAAGTTCATTTACATTAAGTTTTCTAGCGCATAAGAGATTTTCATTTATATCACCAACAATGACAACCTTAGACGACATATGAAGAGAGCTTTCAACGCTATTATTTAAGCGAGCCCAAAAGTCCAATGAATTATACTCTTGACGGTATACATTACATAACAGCGAATTTTGCGGTAAGTATATCTGAATCCAAATTGTTTCATCATAGTTGTTTTCAAGTTCTGAAATTCTCTTAAAAGATAGGCTTTTATTAACATAAACTAGTAAACCACATCCAAACATTTTACTGTCTTTGCGTACTGGCTCGTGAAAATTTTCCCATATTAGCGTTTCAGTTTTAATACTGTCCTCTAAGTGCGTTTCCGTAAAACAAACAACATTATGATCTGACAAGAATTCCCTCAAATAAGAAAGCTTGTTACGTACACTTCTAGTATTTAGATGGAAAATAGACAATGAATGGTCACAGACAGAGTTGTCATGGGTCAGTGGCCCTTGGTTGGGTTGCACGTCCCCAGGATTACGTCAACATTACCAGCTTGGAGACAACAAACACTAAGAAACAGTGTGCATGATTTCAATTCGTTACCGAAAATCCCAAACATTACCCTTAATTTACGCACAAAGAGAGTTACATTATTACATGAAGACGCGCATGAAGGACGCTCTTAAATCCTACCTGTATTCTAAAGTTTACACAATTAAATACCCCAATCACCACACGGTGTTGCACTATATCATTACCCATGTAAAAACTGGGAGTATAATATATACTCAGACAATATTAGATAAAAATATGACATTATGAGATTAAAGAGACAATATATTATTTGTTCATGCTGTCGGGAACAAATGTTGAATGTGAATGTGATCATAACATATGTAGGGAAAATAAAACGAATATAGATAAGTAAACTTTCACAGATAGTTGATAGTACTTGAAGAATGGAGCTGATAGAGTAAGAACAAAGAGATTTGTACAGTATGATAGAGATAGAGATGGGGAAACTAAACATCAAGGGATTCATAACAACACAAAGAACTTCCATCCCTCAGATGTTAGCAATATTCTACCATCATCACTGACCATCCCGGTAGGCTTGCAGGTGCATGTACAACATTAAATTAAAATCAACAGCAGCACCAAAGACATTGTGGAGTTCTTGATACAACAGGATTTGTCTGAAGCATCAATGGAACAGAATGTTTTTTTATGATCGAGAGGGGGTTCTGCCAAGTGCTTTTATTGTGTTGCAACCATCATCATTGTTCAGGCTTCTGTTAGGCTTTGCTGACATTGATGCAACAACATTTATCCGCATCAACGGAACAGAATTCGAATGTCGTTTGCTGTGGGGAAAATTGATTTGTATTTACCAATTCAGAACTGACCCTTCCTAAACCGAGTTTTGACAATGACTGCAAACCATGCAAGCTTGGATGGCAATGGCAGATGCCATCGCATATTGCATACATTAGATAAAATTCACCCAATTTAGCTGTCAAAATAAATTCCAGTACTCCTGTATCCAAGACAAGGACAAGATCTACCATCCACCAGTTTAAGAGAAGGCATCGCCCACAGAAAACTGGGTATTGTGTTGAAACCTAGCCACCCTTCTTCCTTATCAGTTTTTGTACCTAATGTCCAGAGGTTCAAAACGCAGTGAGAAAAGAAACCTTAATCTTAATTCAGATAATGGATCATTCAAAGAAACATTTATCATTCAAGAGCTCCATAAATGTCTCAGGTAAACTCATGGGATTGCCAATCTGCTGATAATGTATACTGTCAATAGACCTCTAACGTTCATACGCATCGTGTTCGAGAACACTTGTAATGTATTTGTTGAAACGAATGATCAATACTAGTCTATACCAAATTTCACTGAGCTGTCGGACGCATGGTCAGTAATCAATATGACTATTTCTGTTAAAACACGTACCGTCGATGAATTGACGTGTTAAGAATTGGACACCTTCAAAGGATGATGAAGAAGAAGAACATAACATAATTGCTCCAGTAAGGAGGAAAGGAAACTCCAGTACGATTCAAGAGAAACATAAACGTTGTTAACAATCGATATGTCCTTCATATAAGGGGAGGGAGTTTATAGATTGCTATGCTATATTTCCGTCAGTACTATGCAAGATAACGCTCGAAAGAAATGAAACTGCATTTCTTAGAATTGAAAAATGTATACAATCCCAAATGTTTTTTCTGTGTTCTTTTTCAGTTTTTAATTCTCAGACAACGACTAGATGATTAAAGGCAAGATGGTGACCTTTGATACTTCCTGCTATTGAAATCATAAAAGGAATGAACGCCAACGCCAGACAATAAATTCTCTTGATAATTTGTCGAAACAGACTCATTTGGCCGAAAGACGTAAAATAGTTTTCTGCCTTCGCCAATAATTCGTTTCAACGATAATATAATGATTTCGAAAAAATCAAACGCCCATAGTTAAACGTATTAACTACTTGTAAATATGGTATGATTGGAAATATAAATACTTTGCATATAGAAGATCATTTCCTTATTTTGAATCTTAGTAAATAAAATATAAACAAATCCATTAACTGATTTCCCACTTGAGCGATCGTCAGGGTGAGGATGTCCCATGATGTAGAATTTTCTGTTTCTTCTTACAAGTATACCGATTAAAAAGGGTGTCTGAGGTTTTGATTAAAACGTGTTTTAAGTGGTACAGAGAGATAAAATTGGTACAAAATAGAAATAAATTTAATTTGACAAAGCTCATGATCTTTACTTTATCATGAATTACATCCACATTAAGAATAAAAAAACACAACAATGTCATGTTTACCTCTGTCGAGAATGCAAAGAAGGCACATTTCTTTCGACTCACTTCTGATTACTACTTCATTCGTGCATCAAGTGAAAGAACTAATTATCAGTGACAGTATAATCCGTTAAGAGACATGTATGATTGTCATAAATCTCTGTTTCGTATATATATGAGTTAAAGGAATGTGACTCTGCTAATTTTGAATAAGAATGTATGATAGGAGGGTAAGCTCCACTTCATTCAATTTTGTTATATTTACCGATGTTTTAATGATTATATATTTCAACTGTATATTCATGGATTCTTGCTAACAATAAATTGCCTCCAATTATGGTGAAGATGGTAAACATATAGGGACACATTCAAATGAATAAATATGAAACATACCATGTAGAAAGGCATAGCAAACAGCGATCACCAGGTTTCTCGTTGTAAGCCTCATCTTGGTTCCGTCTCTAGGTGTTGTCTGAACGTTTAAGCCCGACACTGATCTGCATCTGTATCAGAATTCCATCTGTATTATTCTTATATGTACGACATCAGTAACAGAGATATATCAATTTGAGTAATTGATTATCCGTTTAACCTATTAGTCGTGTCCTTGGCCGACTCTGAGTGTTGACTGAAGCATGTCAATAAATTAATATTCTCCGTGGTGGTAACAAAAGAACACAGTGAAACACGTGAAAACTCCCACGTGAATGCGTGTTCTATTCATGCCATAAAGGGCGTAACTCTTTCCATAATTATAAGAAGCATCTGTAGAAAGACAGATTTACCAGAAATTATGGGGAAACTCTTTGTTTCCTAATACTGATGATATAATTTTAAAATATTTCTTACATTGTGTAGTAAGGTACTCAGTATGAGAGGCAACTCTTGTAGGCTTAAGAATAAACCTTACTCCACACATAGTTATCTCCCCTGGTGTACCAGACGACTTCCTTTGTTGACCTTGCAGATGTGACAGCAGAAGAAAAAAGAAAGCCGGTGCTAGATGATTTTGAAACGGGTGTGACTAATGCAAAAGACTTAGCTGGTAGACAGGACATTCCTCTGTCTACAGTATGCAGAACGTTGAAGAATATTCGCTCAGCAGTTGGGAGGACTGAGCATAGGACAGGGACGGGGAGGCCAAGAAGCTCAGTACTATGGGTCGCCGGCGACTTGGTCAGATTGTGATTAGGGGAAAGCGTTGAGAATATCAGAAATGAGATGATTACCAGAGAAATTCCCCAGGTATGTAATGAAACCCTTAGACAAGAATTAGAAAGACTTAACTGGGTGAAAAAGCGCTGAATTCCCTCACCATTGATGAAAGGTGCACGAAAAGAAAAACGTTTTAACTGGTGTAAAGCTCACGAAAATCAAGATTGGGATAATATTTTCTTTTCTGATGAAAGTAATGTCTGGCGGCTTTTTCCGAGCTGTGTGAAAATGTGGACAAAAGATTCCGGGAAACCTATCTACCAAAGCTCAAAGCATAGCCCGAAATGTCACATTTCACAACTAGGCCACCGATATGCATACGCGCCCATTTGATGGGTTAGGGCAGTACTTGCATTTCATAAACAATAAAATCGTATACGACTAGTTGATGTGCATAAATGTGTACTTTGCTTGACAATTTAATATATACTAGTTTGATGAAATTTTTATTCCGTACATTGTTATAAATTAGTGTTATTCATTGTGTATCAAAGTTTCATGTGTAATACAGTGTATATGTGGACAGTCAGTTATCGGCAGTGGTATGTTATATGTAGAATTGTGCTACAGACAGTTCTGAAAAGTACGACAGAGCCCTAAACCCTAAGGGCTTTTCCACTACATTCTAGAGAATTTTAGAGAATGTAGAGAGAGAAAGAATGTATTAAATGTTACATATGCAATTGCGTGAATGAATTATCTAAAGCTGATTAATCATGGTTTAGCAATTAAAAACAAACAGGAAGACAAATTGTAATGCTGGACACTACTAAAGTCGTCATCCAGAATAGAACAGCATTTGTTCTTTGTTGTGCATGTATATTTCTACCGTATCCAAAATAGTATGGCGCTATGTATTCCCAAAAAAATCAAAAGCAATCATGTCAGTGATTTGTAGCTCTCAAGAAAAAAAAATGTACATTGATTTTAAAATCTACAGACGTTGAGTGCTTCTCCAGGCCTCATAGGCCCAGTGTCATGGTTTTCCAAAGCTGACTACCACGAATATTGTTGATATGTCATTCAAGTGGCAACTAGTCCGAGCACTTCATCATGAGCAAGCGGAAGAGAAGTACCAACCCTTTAGGGCAGCTGCTGACAGTACCATTGGTGAAACACTATTTTCTGAAGAAAGTGATTCTGATAGTGATCTTGTTCCTCCAGATTCATCTGACGATGATACATCATCAGAGTTTTCGGAATCAACATCATCATCTGATGTTGACGATAACTCTGATGATCATGGTGTGCTTGTGGGCAAAGATGGCGGCAGATTGTCCACCACTTCACCAGGACATCCTTGGACGTAGCATCATGCGTGGTCCTTTGCAGAAAGTCGTCCACGCAGACCACATCACCAATGAGACAGATAATGTTTCAACTGTACATTACTAAAACATCATGCACAAAATTGTCTTTTTTACCAACAAGGAAGGAAACAGAGTAATGAACGAAACGAGGAGAGCAGAAAGTGAATGGAAAGAGACAGATAAGGAAGAAATTTGGGCTCTTGGTTGACTGGATACTAAATATGGCAGACACGGATGTTTTGTGGAGCAAACAATATAGAATGTCTGTTTGTGAGAGCAACAATGTCTCAACGCCGATTCAAAGATCTCATGACCTTACTACGTTTTGATGACAAACAGACCAGAAGTCAGGGGCGGGGCAAGGATAAGCTAGCACCTATTCGGGAAATCTGGGAGGAGTTTCAAGCGTGTTTGGGGCGTTATTATGTACCTGGAGGCAATCTGACAGTTGATGAACAGCTAATACCATTTCGTGGTAGATGCTACTTCATTCGATGCATTCCAGCCAAACCTGATAAATATGGACTAAAACTGTTTTGACTTGTCGATTCCAACATATGTTATCCCATTCGATGTTTGCCCTATGTTGGATAGGAAGGCAGAATTGTCCAAGTTAGACTGGGCAGAAAGATTACTTTGGAACTCTGTAGACCTTACTTTCAGTCAAATCGCAACATCACTGCAGATAACCTCTTCACTGATCACGCACTTGGACTTGGACTTATTTGGATTGCTCTGGCTTTCGTTGGCACTTTCAGACTAAAAAAACGGTTCCTCCCTGCAGCATTCAGCACTAATAAAGCCCGTGGAGTTCATGGGCCAGTCTTTGGATGGATTTCAAGACAACGACAAGTTACCAATGCAAGAAGTGAAAGAGCGTAATCTTGTTCTGCACAATGCACAGAACAGCTCACGTTGAAAATTCACACAGAGGAAGCTAGAGATAGTGCTTTATCACAACAAAACAAAAGGGACAGTTGACACAATGTATCAGGAGGCCCATGGATATTCCACAAAACGGAAGACCATGAGAGGGCCCATGGTGATGTTCACAAACATGCTGGACGTTGCGGGCATCTTATACAGCCTGGAGAGTCAAGCTCCCTCAGTGGAATGTATCAGCTAGAACCCAAGACGTGAGTTCCGTCAAGCCATAGCTGAAGCGTGCATGCATCCACTTGTCAACAGGAGAAAAGAAATGCCAATATCGCGTCTGCTTCAAAATAATGTGCAGGATGTTCTGTCTGATAATCCCGCAGATGATTCACCGCTTGGAAAACGTTGCAATTAGTGAATATGCAGTACAAAGAAAGACATAAAATCTCAACCGACCTGCAGCATGTGCACTCGCAATGTGCGCATAGAGCACAGTGTCCAGGCAGTTATCTGCATGGACTGTATTGACTAAGGACAGAGTTCAGTGGGAAGTTTTAACTTCTATGCAGCCCATCCATACAGCAGGTTAAGATTGTATCTCGTTGACTGTTTGTTCTGGACTGATTTGAGTTTGCTATTTGCACTACATTCATTCAGTGTAACATCATTATTTATAAACAAAGAACAGGGAAAACAAATCCTTGTGAACAACTTTATTCAATGACTTTTTGATTCATGTTTTGCCAAATATTGTTTTGTTCTTTTGTTTGATCAGTGAGGATTCATCTAGTACGGTTTGTAACGAGCCTGTGCCTTGCTTCTGCATGCAAAACATTTGGTAGGAGGATTGCGCCATTCCAAGGCAGCCATTTCTTCAAGGGATAGACAGGTACCCTAAAATTAGTTGAAAACAGATTAATCGTTTGCGTTTGTGTTCACGTTTCTGGAATATTCATTAACAGGAAAATGTCAATGTCAGTTTAAGTCAGCATTGAAATGTGTGTTGAAATGCAGTGATACTTACAGTTGATGGATTTTTGTACTGCTCATCGTAGGCTCCATCTGGAAAGCGTTCCCTCACCACTTGTCGGATTTCCTCAGGGAATATGAGCGTCGATCCTGGGGCCGCTTTTTCACTGTAAAGTATTGTTGGTTTTTGTTTTAAAAAAATTCATATTTTGATTTTGTTTTATTTCCGGTTACTTTTAACACGTGTAACTTAATAAAAACGTAGAACGATGTAAAATGGTTAAAATAAAGTTTCACTGATATAAACAATAATGGACATTGTTCATTTTTCTTACCACAAGCTGGCCATACGTGTATTTGTAAACCCCCTTACGAGTCTTTCCATGGTGCTGCAGTACCTGCTGGGGTTTTCTTCCTATGAATTCGTAATTTATAATATATAGTTAAAAGATCCAAAAAGCTCAAAGTGAAAAATTAAATAGTGAAATGTGAATTCTCAACATCGAAATATCCTTACAAAATAATCATGCTTACCCGATCAGTTCCAGTTTCCCTCTCAACTGTTCCATGGTTATGTCAGATGTAAGATGAAAGCACATCACAGCATCTTGGGAACTTCCAAAGGTCGCATATAGAAACGCGTGATATACCCGGGCCTCCTAGGCCTTGGGAAGCACTTAAGCGCAGTAAAATTTAGATGCATCACGGGGGTTAAACAATACGCCTAAATTCCAAACATTCGAAAAGCAGCAAAGATATACTGATATACAGTTCTTATAACGAAACAGGGAGTAATTAAGTATGTTCATTTCACGAGCTCCATATTTTCCATGGGGATAATAAGTCTGGTGCGACAGCGTACTATAGACTATATTGAAACCCTACAATGTATTACATTAACTTGAAACTACCCTTAGGGTGTAGTTACAACTCCTCAACCTTTACTCTTCAGAGTATCGACCAATTCAACTGACAAACTATGTTTGTAAAGCCACTCAAAGCTGTCAATAACGTTTTAGTATAGTACCAAGAAACCAATAATCTAAATATATGTGTAGATTCCGTAACAACAGAGGTTACATCGATCATGTGATGCGTTTCGAATAAATAAACACTTGAGGGTCCTCAACATTTGCCAAATTAAATGGTATGTCAGCGTCACTTTACTCCTTAACGAGAACCAAAGGTGAAACTACATGTACATTTAAGTTATAAATATTTGATGTCCTTTGTTAGCTTTGACAGGGTTTTTAGATTTTGTGAGAGATGCGCATTTAGAGACTCCTAAATACTGTTAATGCATAACACTTATTACATTTAAGAAGAAAGTACATTGTGTTGTATGGAAGGGATAGTTTATAGATTTATAAATTTGAACACTGTATAGAAACGTATATGTTATATATTTGTTCATGTACCTTTCTAACGTATACGCAAATTACTGACAATTGATGCAGCATGTTCAAATTGATTGTATTGACTACTGAATGATTACATGAGATATTGTACCCTTTAACATTAGTGAATGAGTTATTATTTAACGTCACATCGGCAATATTTCAGCCATATCGTGACCCTTTAACATTAAGTAATAGGGACAGTTGTGTGTGATAGGCACAGGGCCATCTCGTTGTAGCCTCAAACAGGCTTTACCATTCAAGAATGATCAGTTTTGTCTCGCTATAAAGAGTTCACAAAAACACAAACACTAAACGTTTCGTGGGAAACGTGTGCACCAATCTGCTTGGAAGCGCGATCCAAGTACTTAATCGGACTGTAAGTTTTGGTGTACCCCCAGTTTCACCGGATATACCCATCCTGCAAATTATCGATATCATTTATAAACAATCGAATGTATTGAGGCTGTAAATTGGAATCTTTTAACGTACTTTGTTTGTTTTTGTCGATGTGCAAATTTGATGAATCCTCGTAGCGGATTCTTTAAAAAGTTTGCAAATCCGTTTTGTCATTCATACCACTATGAACCGAAAAAATATTATTTTCATAAAACCTTTTGGCTACATTTCTTCACGCTGACATCCCTGCATCGAAAGTTTCCTTGAAGGCCGAAGACTGATGAGAAATGGAACAGCAAACGGATTCACACGGAGTTAATCTTTAAACAATGGAAAGTTTGGAAATTGAAAACTGGACTATATAATCTCAATACAACAGCAGAGTGTTGTTCAAACGGAATTACTATCGATCACTGGTGCGTTTGGAGTGTGGTTCCAATGAAAGTAAGGTCAGTGTTGCATGAAGTATGCAATTTAATAAAAATAATAAAGAGAGCCACTTAACAAAACGTACTTTCAGCAATTTTCTGGAGTGATATTGATTTCAATTTCAGCATACACACAGTTGAATGCCTCTACTGATCTGAACAAAATAAAGAAGTATATATGCCAATGTATCGGTCTGTTTTGTTTGAGTATGATCTCACCTTAGGCAAGTGAGTTTGTTCAAAATTGTCTCTGTTCACCCAGCAGGAAAATGGGTACCCGGTGGAAAAAAGTCATATGACTATAACCTTCTAGCGCCTAACAGGCAGCTTGGGTTATCCGGGGTAATAATGGCCTTGATTGTTAGCGCTATGAGCATACCTAGTGTGGAGTTTGGCGCTATATAAATGGACACATTATTATTATTATTATTATTATTATGAGTATTGGAGCCATATAACAATGGTCAGTAAGCAATCGAACCTGGACAAGGCAGTCCTTGACATTCTAAGGAACTGGACTATGACGACATGCGTCAAACGAGTCAGCGTTGCCTGTTACGATAAGCATAGGCTGCTGAATACAAGTTCTAGCCATTATCTTCGCAGGGTGCCTCAGACTGGGAATTTCATAGCGGTTTCAGGGTAAAATGTACATGTGGAGTGAGAAGTTAAAAGCATGAGCTAATCACTACAATATATATATATATATACACACACACACACACACACACACACATATATATATATATATATATATATATATATACTCACCAACATTGAAAACGCACCACTTACAAAAGTGATTACTAAAAGCACGTGAAAGGAATTGATATTTTTTTGGTGGATAATACCAGAAAGCCGACTGACAAAAACAATAACAAAGAAAAGACGCTCATTCATTTAATTGTTCCACAGTCAGAAAGGATCAAACACATGTGGGGTCAAATCGAAAAGTCAATATCGCGTGTGACCGACATTTGCATTGACACATGCAGTGCAACGTCTCCTTATTGAGTCACATAAGCGTCCGCATAGAGTTCTGGATAATGACATTCCACATTTCTGCGGATGTTTCGCATCAGTTGTCGCCGCGAAAGACTTTGACCAATAGGGTGCTCATGTGCTCAATAGGGGATACATCTGGCGACAGTGCTGGCCAATGAATAACCTGGATGTGTAGCTTGGTCAGATACTGCATGGGAAGTCAAGCTGTGTGTGCCCGTGCGTTGTCCTGTTAAAAGTATTGACATCTTGGTGGTGATTGAAGAATGATATCGACATGATTCGAGAGAATCTGGTCACGGTAATAAAGGGCTTTACCTCTCCCTTGACAGACAGGAATTGCAGTTCTGTGATTGTAACTTATTGCACCCCAAACCATGACACTTCCACCACCCTAAGGTCTGTCTAAACCATACACTCATAAGCATAACGTTCACCACGTCTACGCCAAACACGTAATCGGCCGTCAGCATTACGTAGGTGAAGACGTGACTCGTCAGTGACTACCTCACCATGCCATTGTTGTAAACTTTACTGAACATGCCTATTAGCCCATTGCATACGCTCAAAACGGTGTTTGTCAGTCAGAATTGGCCCAACGCAAGGACGTCGAGCATGGAGACATGTAGTGTGTAGACATCGTCGCATGGTGTCAGCGCTGATGACCCCACGTCGACCTTGAACTAGTGCAGCAGGCCCGGCAGTCGGCAGTGTTCGATCACGGATATGGCCAAGGACATTATGGCGATCCTGACGGGACGTGGTGACACGTTGTTGCCAAGGTCGTTGAAGGTCACGGGTGCTGCCTGTGTGCTGATATCGTCTATGAAGCCCAATGAAGGTGGAGTGGCCAAGTCCAAGTTGCCGAGCAATATCCCTGCTGCTGGTGCCAACCTGAATCATGCCTATTGCACGTTCTCTTCCGGGAGGTGTTAACTTCGGCATCTCTGTCCTCGTTTCACAATCGTTAGTGAAGCAATGAGAATCGTTTCTCATACACCTGCTTTTAATGTCACAGTCAGCATGATTTCAGAATGAAATTCGCACTTTTTCCATGGCGTGGCTGCAGGTTGATGCGTTTTGGAATTAAGAGTCGTACTGTGAACAGGAATTTGTTTCTAAAGCATTTTTTCAACTGGACATGCCCTTCGACTTCATGTTAGTCATATTCATTGATCAGTGTCATCCTGAAATCCATCTTGATGAAAATATGGACAATTTTAGACTGTTGTGTTTTCAATGTTGGTGAGTATATATAACACATAACCCCGTAATTTCTTGTTGGACCCCACAACAAGCAAATACCAAACAGTGGAGTTTACAGAGCAAAATGTGCATTTTGGAAGAAAATTTAATTGCCCGACCTAAACAAATGTATTCTTGGATCCCACAACAAGCAAATATCAAACATCACTATATTTTGCCGAAGTATGATCGTTAAGGCCTTAAAGAACCCTTTTTAAAGGGGTTTAGATTATTGTTTGAAACTTGTTTTCGAACCTCTTCAGTAAACACACAATGGTCCTGAACATGCTTTAAGGGAACGATGAGATGAATTCAAAATCGCTGGTAATCAAAGAGTTGTTCATCACAAACGGTAAGGATGTAGCCGAAAATGTATAACTCTTAATGGCGCCAATGTGACAACGATGTCGAATCGTGTAAACAATGGCGTAAGCTTGCTTGAGTAAATAAGTGCGTATTGTTTAATTGCTTAATTTTGCAGCTATTCGCGGCGAGAAACTGTCTTTTGATTTACAATAAACTGCACACAGTAAAAGTGATGTTGAAACTCACTAAAATATATTTCAAGGGTGAAAAAAACACTGATCTCTGATATAAACATCTATATTTTCTTACAGTTTGATTTCCTTTAAATGCGCTAAAATCAAGTGGTTGAAAATATTTCTGAAAACTTCACATAATATAGGAACAACGTCTAAATGTGTGAAAAATACAAAAATCTGTATTTACCTGAATAAAGAAGTTGTTCATCCATAAACTTTGTCCTTATCTGACTTTCCGACTTCTAAACTGCGACTCAAAGAAGACTTTATCATCGTATGATAAAAGCTCTATTAATCAATCATTACCTCATGTACGTGAGCTTTTCAATGGACTTTGAGTAAGCTATATATTTTGGAATGATTTTCATTTTTCAGTACATTAACTTCTTTGAGTGGCATTTACAAGTTGGTGTGATAAACAGAGGGGAAAGTTCTGTGGAAATACAACGTTTATTATTAATCCCTTCCTAGTTAATTCTGTGTAACTAATTACTCACTATGTACACCAACATTTTCAATAATGTAAACATCGATCAACTTACTGTATAAACTTTACTCATGTATATATAAGCATTTCCTGCAGTATTGTACATCAAGTACTTGATAACGGTGTTAGCATCTACACCGAAACGTTGCTTACACTACTGACGAAGTTGTATAGCCATAGAGTTTTCCCCGTTGATCATTCAGTACGTTGCTTTTAATCATTTAATGCATTAAGCGTGTTGTATTTCTCAGCATTGAATGGTCACGGATGCGTGGAATATATATGTCTAAAATCATGTCCCGCAGCTCTTTTTAATCTAAAGCTTACATCTGTTCATTTACATTTCTCAAATACATTGGTACCATTTTCGTTTATGTATGTCTAATTCCCACATGTGTCTAATTCCCACATGGTTCATATCAGGACTCCCAGAATTTGTCATACTCACATTTGCTTTTAACTTTTACCAATTGTCTTAAACCCTTAAAAGTTATATTATGACCATATCATTGGACATAACGCTTTGTGACGAATGCAGCACCTTACCTTTGGGTTTGCAGAGTGGAAAAAGAAATCTTTGGGAACAGTTGAAATTCATCCTTAAAATGAAAACATACCTTCCAGTAGGACGAAGCAAAGAGTGAACACCATGTTCAAGCCAACATGCGTCACCGTGATGCCTCTTCCAGATGCTTTCTATGCATTCACATCGACCTCAGCCAGTTGTCTGCTTATGTATATGCGTGTTTCAAGTATACAATATGTTTGAAACAGACCAAATCTACATCAATGCCGATGAACGATTATCCACTTGCCGCATTTGAGAACATTGGGTATTGATTAAAGTATGTCTGTAGGGTATTTTATCCCACATCTGTTACTAAGAGACGGGGTGGAACCAAATATACTGAAGAATCGCGGTAATTAATGTCATTGTGTCAGTTAATGATCATTATATAAATACTAAAGTGTCTATGATTACACAATGCCATTTTGAAAGTGGTCAAATGTAACATATGTTATATTTGGGATTACAGTTTCTTAGTAAAGTACAAATTCTAGTACTTTTTAAGTTGAGCCCCATCCGGGATTCGAACTCACACCCTCAGAGTCAGGCACCTAATCGCTAGCACACAGAGTCAGCCGCCTAACCCGCTCAGCTACCGCGACTTCATGACTTGTGCTATTTGTTGTTTTTATTCTCCATGTGGGCTCACCCCATTATGCGGTATTGTTATCCATTACATGTTATTGTTAATCTGGAGCTTGTCAGTACATACTGTGCATATGTATGATTACACAATGCCATTTAGAAAGTGGTCAAATGCAACATATGCTATATTTGGGATTACACTTTCTTAGTAGAGTACAAATCTTAGTACTAGTGGGAGTCGCGGTGGCTGAGCGGGTTAGGCGGCTGACTTTGTTTGCTGGTGATTTGGTTCCTGACTCTGAGAGTGTGGGTTCGAATCCCGGATGGGACTTAACCCCAAAAGAGTACTAGAGTTTGTACTCTACTAAGAAAGTGTAATCCCAAATATAACATAATGTTGTGCATATGTACTTTTTATCACCTGGTTGCCGTCACTTCTAGCTTAATAACGGTGTCAGAATTTACATGGAAATGTTGCTCCATGCAATAAACACGAAGACCTTATGCATAATATTTAATGAATCAACACACACAGGGATCTTAATTAAGCATCCATTAATATATTTCATCATAGTGATTTAGCAATGAATGATGATATGTGAATGATGACATTGTTTAGTAGTACATTTCAGGTAATGAAAAACAAAGTTTCAGTTTGAAATGGTTTACCGAAACACAGCCCACACGCATGTGAAGCATGTCCACTCATATCATGGCGTGGAAAAGACTTGGGCTGGGATGGCAGATAGTGGTTATGCGTGCAGCTGGCATGTCTTTCAAGGCCAACGGGCTTCAGTTTGGTTTCTCCCAGACTGTCATCAGTAGACTCATCTAGAAACACCAACAAACAGGCGCTGTCAAGGATCGACCAAAGCCAGGGCAACCCACGAAGACCCCTCCAGAGGAAGATCGCAACCTGGAACGTTACGTGAGTCGTGAACTCTTCTCCACTGGGTGCCCAACATCCATGCTTGAACAGCATAACAAATAACTTGTTAACAAGTGAAGTTCTCATAAACCACGACAAGTATTACCAGCAAGATATGTATGTACATATACATACACAGACATGAATATGTTCAGTATGATTACTGTTGCTGACAGATGATTGTTGCCTTGTCTTTATTGCTACAATCGCTGCTCTTTACCGTATTTCCTCTGAATCTGTACTGCCACAGCGATACCTTCCAGTGATTTGTATTGATTTGTGAACTATGTCAATATTAGGCCACATAAATATATTCTTGTTTCTCATCACTTTTTCAAAAACATATTGATCGGTTCCGGCGGATTTTATATTTACTTTTTTATTTTATTTTATGATAGAAATCCCTTGATTTGTGCGGTAATTTACACCTTTTCTCCGATTGAAAATCAAAACTTGAAGTGTCAAATATTCATGCACATTTTGAGAGGTAAAGCTGTATTTTCTCTAGAGAAAATATTTAATAAAAAAAGTCTTAGGGTCTGGCGGTAATGAGAAACAAGAAAATTGTTATATGTGGCCTTAGAATACAAGTGCTGATTACCTACCATCCCTGTTGTGTGTTGATTTCAAACCAAGTTATGTTATGGATTATCATTTCGGGAGTCAATACGTAACAATATCTTAAGTCTGTAATTATGTTCACTGTGTAACTACTATTACATCTTTCAGCATCCAAAGTGTGATCGATTTTTAAGAATGCAGTTAATTACATCACATTTCTTTGTTTTGATGGTTTCACACCAAGATCTCTTACGGATTGATTCCCGGTTAATCTTTTAGTTTAATCAGCTTGGCAATCAACATTGGTACAGAGTTCAGAGTTCATGCATAACAAACAAAACGAACATCGCAGGATGAAACTGAGAGTTTCTTTAATGATTCTTTAATAAAGAAATCAATTGCATAACATCTATTTTGAGCACAAACCCAAACGGCCTGAAAAGAAGTTGTGAGATTCTTCAGAGGCATTTAGAAGTGAATATATAAGACGAGTATATGGATGGCAACTTTTTGTTTATTGTATATCACAACGTTTCTGGGCTACTTCTTGACCCTTCTTCAGGTGGAAGAAGGGGCAAGGAGTAGCCCAGAAACGTTGTGATATACAATAAACAAGAAGTTGCCATCCATATACTCGTTTTATATGAAAGAAGTTGCGATAAAATCCTTATATACAGACAAACATAAACAACATTTGTATTTACGGCCTGAACAAAATTAACTACTAAAACACATTGTGCATCTTGGATATCTCTGTTATGAATATGAACTCTATGTACACTATTTTTGTTGATCTAACCAGATCATTGAAATGCATCTCAGACGTCAGAGGTGTAGCTGCCGCATAGCTGAGTTTTCAAAATTGCAACTAGTCACTAAACAGTTAATATACATTAACTTCAAAATACATTTTGAGAGACAACAGCACGTGTGTATAATCTTAACCAAAATGCAGCCTCTAAACAAAACTCTGAGTTTATGATGCCACGGACATCGGAAAATACCACCCCAAGTCGTCCCTTAAAAGACAATGGGTTTAACCATGGAACTGTTACTTTTAACTGACACAAAACCTCTACTAACAAAAGGAGATTTCACTCTCTCACAACAGCAGGATTTGCTGACTTGTCTACATAAGTTAACTCATCAGTGGAAACATTTAAAGGTTGTGACAGGCCATTCACAAAAGCGTTGGGGAAAGAATGACTATTTCTGACAGCAAGCGCTCAGGATCATTTACAAGTCAGCTCTAATCTGACGAAAATCCTGAAATAGCTTTAGAACCAACTGGTGCAGAACTTGACATTTTGTCAACAAACTCAGAACAATTCTTTGAAATGTTTAAACGATGACTAGGATAGGTTGAACACCTTCTGGTTTATAACCATATGACTTCATGCCTGAAAACCCTCACTGCCGAAAACAAACACAGTGATTTTACAGCCAAAGAAGCATTCCTAAGACAAGCGTGTATTGCTGAAAACCAATTCTAATCCGGATCTTCACACGTCACGATCTTCACTGAGAAGGGCTGAACCAGTTTATTCTGCCTTGACATAGCAGTCGATCTACCATCTGCAGAACGTCGGAGGAACGTCTGAGAGGTCTTTTTGTGAGTGAATTTGTCTCAGCTTAATATCTTTATTTGTCTGAGCTTCAATTTCCATCAGCCTAATCTGAAATTCTTTCTGTTTTTTTTCTTTCTCAGCTTCCATTCTTTTTTTCCTTCTATTTCACGTTCCAAGTTATTTAGATCCAAAACATAAGTATTATTTTTTATCAGAGCCAAAAAGTCATCGTCCAGAATTTCTTTCTCGACGAGAAAAGCAATCAATATTTTCCTGACTGCTTCTTGCAGCATATCTGATCTGATGTAGCGTTTTGCAATATTTGGTTCATGCAATCCGTTAGGAAGCTTTGACGAAAGAGACTTCTTCCGTAGAAGGTTGGCTGAAAGATTTTTCTACACTACAAGGTCCTGGTTGTTGGTCGTTTCTCACGTCAGATGATAAGATTTTAATCCAAAACTGTTGGGTAAATACTTCGCCCCTAGTTGTTTCCCACGTTGAAACAGTATGCTAATCAGAAATCACTCCCATGTGAAACCAACAAACAGCAAATAAATGTGGTATAATTAACATCTGTATTCAAAATGATAATCACTATAAAGGAATTCCTATGACAGCCATATAAAAGTAAATGGCTCAATGGTAGTATACGATGGCAAAATATTGCAATGATAACAATAAAGGGATGATTAGTTTCACCTTGCTGCTATAGTGGTTAAGCTAAACAAATAGGCCCAGGTTGTGAATCCTCTCATGTATAGTGAAACTGTTTTGGAACTTTTAAAAATATCCTGGGTTAGATTAGCCTGGAAAGGCTCTAATAAACTGTAGTACTTTCCAGATCACTGTCTTAAAGTAGTACAACACATATCACAAGATATCCTCCTTGCTCTAATTTTGGATCTCTCTTGTCTCGAGGAATAAAACAATGTAAGGACATACTGCAAGACTACCAAACTTTGTTATAGTAGCGAGTGTAATTATACTAAAATCCCTTAACGTAGTGTATCCAGTAATGAGACAATTCTATTGGAAAGATACGCCACCATGTTCTCCGAAAAGATTTTGCATATATAGAGAAATAATCTCTGCAGTATAGAAGGTCTTGTGAACCAATAATGGTTCTGAAACACATGTTGTATTTGCGATAACACGGTCAGTGATCAATCACAAAAGTATCTGTACTTTACCGAGAAAGTATAATGGCCAATATAAAATATTTCTGATCACTTTTGAATGTGATTCTGCATTAATAGTGGCTCTAGTAACATTGGGTCATTCACAGCTGTCGTAACTTGAACATACGTCGATGGTGTACTTGGACCATCCTACAGCTTCTGCTGCATCTTCTTGGTTTGTTGCTAGGAGACAGTTGGTGGCAGCTGTTGGGTGGTAACTGAAACTCAGACAAGACTTGTTTGCGTAACACCGGGAACTGCAATCAGCGGCGGAAGTAACTGCGAGTGACGTCATTGGTGATGATACTTTCGTGTTGATCCCCTTACTATACTTGGTCACTGAAAGTAAACACTGTCAATAAATAAAATATTTTTTTAAATATCACATTAAACACACAAGACACCAGGAAATGTCAGTAGCAACAGAACGTCAAATAGTTACATTTTGTTAAGGCAATTGTGTGGGAAGAAACAGCTTACAGAACAAAACACCGATAGTTAAAAGTGATTAGGTGCACAACCAAATATTCGTTTTGTGGAGAAGTCATTAGTAGACAGACCAATATTTTCTTCATTTGCAATTCCACAAAAAGGCATACAATCATACAAATATTACAGATTCTAAGCATGTTCGAAAATATCCGCCACTGGATTCGAAACAAACAGCCAGCCAGTACCTGTTCCCGCCAACATTAGGGGAGGTGGGGTGCCCTAGTGGTTGAAGCGTTCGCTCGTCACGCCAAAGACCCCGGTTCGATTATCCACATGGGTGAAGATGCGAAACTGATGCTTGCTTACACGGTCATGCAGCGATGGGGATGGATGAGTGAGTGAGTATGCTTTTAGCAATATTGGAGCAATATCACTACGAGGGACATGGAAATGGGCTTCACATATTCACATATCAATGTGGGGAATCGAACCCGGGTCTTCAGGGTGACGAGCAAACGTTTTAACCATTAGGCCATCCCACCGTCCAAGGGGATGGATGAAGACTGGGTGAGGTGTGTTACTTTTGACTGTCGACAGATTTAAATTACACACATATTCAAAGGATATGTTCTCGGTTCTTCTGTCTTCTTCTCGGTTCAAGCTTTGGTATGAATCCTTCATGGTTATCACGGAGAGTGGATATATTTGAATGAAAATGTGGCTTTAGTTTCTGTCTTTCATTAATTGTCTTGACAGCTACAGGATAGTATGTGATTACACAATTGATTGTTATGCATTTGATGTAAAGGGAGGTAAATGCTGCTGGTGGGTAAAACATACTCATATGTTAATCACTGGACTCTCTGGTCCACACTCGATTATTTACAGACAGCCGCCATATAGCTGGAATATTGCTGAGTGCGGCGTAAAACTAAACTCACTCTGAAAATAACATGCACTCAGGTGCAAAAGTACATTACCACTTCTCTTCAGGGGCGTGCCTTCAACCTCAACTTCCGAAATGACTAAAACACCAGTGAGGTTTCTCCAGACCTTCACGAATCTGACTGGTTGTGGGTGGGAACAAGTGAACGTGAAGGTTTCTCCTTTACCAACTACTTTTGGACACTGGCCGCAGATGAAGATGTCGTCCGGGCAGCCACTGTTGCCACTGGCGTGCACCTCCACGTATGCACTCCCAAGTTTGTTTCCTGTTGGATCCAAGATTTACAAGATGCTTATCAAAATATCATTTTCATTGTATACCTATTCAATTACGGATTACTGGTACAAGTTATTTATATGTTGCTGAAGATTAATATAGCTGCAACATGTGTTATATTTGGGATTTCTCTTTCTTAGTAAATTACAAATTCTAGTACTTCTTTGGGTTGAGTCCCATCTGAGACTCGATTGTGCACCCCTCTGATAAGTGGAAATTGGCACGGCTCCCGGGTTAGGCAGCTGATTTGACTACATATATATATCTGTACTTTTCAAAAAAGAAACTTGACATGCTGTTTTGGCGTTTACTTACTGAGTGCATTGCTCAGTTATAGTAAAATCATCACCTTTACAAAAACATGATTATCCAAAAAGTGTTTGGTAAAACCACAGAGGGCTATTAAAGCCACTTGGTCAGAATAAAATGTCAGTATCTGGTGTGACCACCATGAGCATCGATAACAGCTTGGCAGCGGTGACCCATAGAAGAAAGGAGATGCCGAATGTGGTCTTGAGGAATGTTTTGATAGACTTGCTGAAGTGCTGTGTGCAGTTCTTGTAGTGTCTGAGGTGGTGGATTACGCTGGCGCAAGTGTTGATCAAGGATATCCCACAGATGTTCAACGGGGGACAAATCCGGTGATCGAGAATGCCAAGCTAACAACTAAACATTGATTTGCTGGAGAAAGACCTGTCTAACACGTGCGACTTGAGTTCGAGCATTGTCATGCTCCAAAGATCACGCTGATGTAGGGAATGACGTGACGTTGAACTGGTCTTCTTGCAAAACGTCTGGCTTTCCATAGCCAATTGCGCACTGTCTGGCCGGAGATTCGGAGCAGTCCAGGGATTTGGATTGTTGTAAATGATGCGGCCGTGGTGTTTGAACGAAAACCGGATGTAGCGATCCTGGGCGGCGGTGGTAACGCCAGGTCGACCTAACTTGGTGCTGTCATTAACACTCCGAGTATTTTGTATCGGGTCCATAGGTTTGAGATGGTCTGTCTGCACACGCTGGGGTGCCTTGCCACATCATGCTGCGATATCCGTCCTTTTAAACGGCCGATTGCGTTGTGTCGGTGAGCTTCTGTCAGTCTTTTCATTCTCTTGTCGTCCATAGTGGCTTAAAGCAATGCATGTGGAGTACCATTGATGTGGCTTTTTAAAGCCTACAGTCATAGGCTTCAGCTCAGGGTGATCCACAATTTCATGATGCTCGTGCATTTCATATTAGGGTGCGTTTTGACGATTCACTACAGACGTGAGTGTAACGTTACGTTTTTGTTAAACGTTTCTTTTTACAAACGTTTTGTCGTCGGCAACCATTCCCCCACATGCTGGGATTCAGCATGGATTGGTTTGTGTCAAATATGTTCCTAAAATTCAAATTTTTCCTATGTCAAGTTTCTGTTTTTGAAGAGTATATGATCAAAGTGTCCATTGCAACTTTTGGAATATACTTCATAAGGAATATATATAATGTACGTGTTTTGAAGTATGAATCTTCATAGAATGAGTGCAAACCGTGTGAGCGTCGGAGCACAATACAATTCAGTACGCGTGAACAGTAAATGTGACTCACAAAATACCTCAGTATGTTTGTAAGCTCTTAAGCGTTAAATTTAAGAATATGGCGTAAATGATCAGAGACAACGCCTCTGATTTCATGTATGCTTGGGAAGTGCCAGGAGTCATCCGAGTGAGAATGAATCTTCATCAACCCATGCCTGTCGTAAGAGGCAACTAATGGGATCGGGTGGTCAGGCTCGGTTGACACATGTCATCGTATTCCAATTGCTGCTGATCACTGGGTTGTCTTGTCCAGACTAGATTATTTACAGACCGCCGCCATATATAGATAGAATATTGCTGAGAGTGGCGTTAAACAACCAACCAACCAGGACTCTCGCCAAGAATATGAAATAATTCGTCTGTGTTTACGCAAAGTCAAACTGTAGCAAATAAGGTTGCGCAAAAAAAGAAAATTACCTGTCTTCCTATATGAGAGCGAAGCAAGGGTCTGGCAACGTACTTCCCTCGATTCGGTTCGAAAAATATTTTCAATATCAAAATAGAATATGGCCACCATCAAAGGTAGACACTCATTTCCTCACAGGGTTGTGCTCTAAGATTTCCAAGCTCATATTTAACATTTAATAATTACTCACGTAAAATATATTCATTTCAACATTTTTAGCGCCACTTGTGGTACATCAAATCGTTCTTCGCCTCCATTATACCTGCCAAATTACGATTCAACGGAGTGAAGGAACAGGGGAGTTAAATATAAATATACTTGTTGAATCACAGGTCCGTCATATGGAATACTTGCGGTGTTACCTCTCTTGCTGTCCTTCACGCGCTACGCCAGAAGTGTTTTTTGAGGAATAAATGATAAGAAAATTCTAACACTTTTATTAATTGGTGGAATTAGGCAATATGATACTTCTTTTGTAATTTCTGTTTATTCTTGTTCCTTCACTCCGTTGGACCGGAAGCTGGCAGGGAAAAGGGTGGCGAAGAAAGATTTGACATGTCACGAGTGGAGCTTAAAATGTTGAATTAAATATATTGTACGTGAGTAATTAATAATTATGAGGTTGGAAATCTGAGAGCACAATCCTGTGTGGAAATGGGAGTCTACTTTTGATGGTGGCGATATTTTCTTATGATATTAAAAATATTATTCGAACCGAAGCGAGGGAAGCTCACTGCCAACCTTTGCCGACAACATATAGGGATCACAGTCACGGGGTCATTAACTACAGATAGGTTTACTGCAAGATGGTGTTTACAATTACAAAGCCAAGGGACCTGTGGTGTTTTAAATGTGACAAATTACAAAACGGGTTTATAAGAGACTTACCAAAACTAAAGGTGACGTCACTCGTAACTGAGATTTTGTGGACAGTGAAGTATCCCTGTAGATCCCCCTGCCAGTAGGGATTCACAACGGACCAGGTTCTAGCTGGTATGGATCCGGGATTGTTGTTACCATCATTGGCGAATTCAGCATTCCAGTAAACACTGTTGAGTTTACTGGGCTTTTCCAGCATAATGTTCTCCGCCTTGCTTACGGAAACACCTGAAAATATTGTATTGTAAACATGTTTCTCTATGAATAAGATGAGATTAAACAAGAACGCCCATGTTATATGTGTTGACAACGGCAATAACCCTGTGCCTAAAGCATTTTTGAGTTTGATCCTAAACAAATAACTGTAAATGTGCATTCCTGCTTCAGGAAGAAAAAACTGCAGCTGTGATTCAGATGTGACGTCAGATGTGCGTGTGCCTTTGTCGATATTCCTGTATATCACGGCGAGTCATACCAGAAATAGGTTTCACACAATATACCCATATGGGGAATCGAACCCGGGTCTTCTGCCTAACGAGCGAAAGCTTTAACCACCTGGCCACCCTGCCGCACTCACCTTTGTTTTGATATAATTCAGTTCAGTTTATATACATATCACTTGATTGAGACAATATACTGTCTGTACATGCATTTAACCAGTTAAATGATCAATGTCACAGTCGTGCGTTATTTCTCTTTTGGGCGTTGCTTAGGATGAGACATCATTTTACAAAATATTGCCAATTTCCTAATTGCTCCTAGTGCATTATACCCGTGAAGGTCCGGGTTAGAATTCTGATCTTCAGCAACCCATGCTTGTCGTAAGAGGCGACTAAAGGGATCGGGCGGTCAGGCTCGCCGACTTGGTTGACACATAATGTCTCATTCTAAGCAACGCCCCAAAGAGAAATAACGCACGAATGTGACAATGATCATTTAACTGGTTAAATGCATGTTCAGACGTAGTATATTCTCTCAACCATGCGATATGTATATAAACTGAACTGAATTATACCTGCAGATAGTCGTGAGTAAACCGACTGTTGACAATACGACATCGTCGTAAAATTACCGCATCACGTCTTGACTGACAACCTAAGTAGGTATAACCAATTGTTGGTTTCAGCTCATACAGTTTATTTCTTCCTACTTGAGTGTCCCATCGTTTTTGCATGAGGTCCCGAGTATAGCTTTTGATAGTGGGTTTGAAATCACTGTACAGGATCAGCAGTGGAGAAAAGGGCTTGTCAAGAGCTGCTTTTGCTGCAGCATCGGCTTTTGTGTTACCTGCTATGCCGACGTGATCCGGCAGCCAGCTGAGGACGATGTCACATTGGCCAGTAGAGAGGTCGTTGTAAAGTTCTAAAATGTCCAGAATGATTGGGTGATTTGAAGTAACATTTTGAAGTGCTTGAAGGCAAGATAGTGAATCTGTGAAAACGATGAAGTTTTTGGAATGATTCTGCTGTTTATTATAGGTCAAAGCTGAAAAAATAGCTTTGGCCTCGGCAGTGAAAATGGAACAGTTGTCGGGAATACTAGAGGAGGCAGTCTTAGATCCAATGACTGTAGCACTGGCAACTTGGCCCTCATCCTTGGATCCGTCTGTGAAAATGGATCTATGGGTGTCATACTTGGAACGTAACTGGATATATTTCTGCTGGAACACCAAGGGATTTGTTTCAGACTTTTTGAATTTATTGAAGGAAGGATCGACCTGTGGTTTCGACATCTGCCAGGGTGGTGAAGACAGGAATCGGTAAGGTGCTATGCTATTGAGATCAATTTTAGCTGCAGATATGTGTGGTTGAATTCTGATTCCAAGTGGTGGAACCAGGCTTGGCAGTTTAGGAAACAAGTTTTCATAGAGAGGGTTGAAAACACAATTGTATGGTGGATTGGACTGATTTGAACGTAGTTTAGTGATATACTGCAGTGAAAGTTTAATGCGGCGTTGTTCAAAGGAAGGTTCATTAGCCTCTGCATATAGACTGTCTACCGGAGAGGTCCTGAAAGCTCCATGGCAGAGCCTCAAGCCTTGGTGGTGGATAGAATCTAATCTTTCTAAATTCCTTTTGCAGGCTCCACCATAAACAATGGAGCTGTAGTCTAGTTTAGAGCGAACCAAAGATCTGTACAAGTGAAGGAGGGTAATCTGATCCCCTCCCCACTCTGTATTTGAAACGACTTTTAGTAAGTCCAGAGCCTTCAAGCACTTGGTTTTCAAATATTTTATGTGTGGCAAGAATGTCAGGTGGCGGTGGAATATGAGACCAAGGAATTTGGCCTCTTCTACTACCTTGATGGGAGTACCATCTAAAGATGAGTCTGGATCCTTGTGTTGTCTGTATTTACGACAAAAGTGAATACAATTTGTTTTGGATTTTGAAAACTTAAAGCCATTTTCATTGGCCCATTTTTGGATTTTGTTAAGGCAGAGTTGTAGCTGCCTTTCTATTGCGTGCATGTTCTTACCACGACATGAAATATTGAAATCGTCCACGAAAAGGGACCCATCTACATAACTGTTCAGGACGTTAGTGAGGCTGTTAATTTTGATGCTAAAAAAGGGTGACAGACAGGATGCTGCCTTGAGGGACGCCCTGATCTTGGTGGAAATAGTCTGACAATGTGGAACCTACCCGTACTTGAAATTGTCTGTTGTTTAAAAACTGAGATATGAACTGAGGTAATCTGCCCCTCAATCCAAATTCATGTAAATCTTTTAAGATACCATGTTTCCACGTTGTATCGTATGATTTTTCTAGGTCGAAGAAGATAGATACAGTATGTTGTTTGTTGATGATGGAATTTTTGATGAAAGATTCCAGACGCACCAGATGGTCAATGGTACTTCTGTTTTTTCCGAAACCACATTGGAGGTCACTAAGGAGGTTATTGGTCTCCAAGTACCAGATTAATCGATTGTTGACCATGCGCTCCATGGTTTTACAAACACAGCTAGTTAATGATATAGGACGGTAGTTTGAGGGATCGGTATGATCCCGGCCAGGTTTTGGTATAGGGATGATAATGGCGTTGTGCCACAAAGAAGGAAAGTTGCCGGTTGTCCAAATGTCATCAAATATATTGAGTAGAGTTTCCAAACATGAATCAGGAAGGTGTTTCAGAAGCTGATAATGAATATCATCAGCTCCTGCTGCAGTGTCGTGGGCGTGCCCCAGGGCAGTACGTAGTGCATGAAGAGAAAACGTTTCATTGTAATCCTTACCATTATCAGAGTAAAAATTGACTAATTTCTTTTCTTGTTGGGTTTGGTATTTCTGGAACTTGGGGTTATAGTTTAACGAGGAGGAGTGTTTCGCCAAGTTTGTTTGCAATTTCAACTTTATTGGTTAAAAGGGAGTCACCATCTTTGAGATGGCGAACACCAGATTTGGATCCTTTTCCCTTAATCTTTTGAATCATGTTCCACACCTTGGACATGGATGTGCTGAGTCAAAAAAGAAACTTCACAAAATGTAATTTGAAAAATAATGAATAATTTTTCTCTGATGATACATCCATGTATCCGAAATGGGATCCCTAACTTCCGACTCTAGAAAAACGTTAGCAAAACCCACTCAAACCCATCCATTCGTCGTGCAAATGACGTTAGTGCAAAATCAGGTTTTGGGCGCAACGTCACCTCCGATGGACCCAAAGAGACTGGAATCGAGTCGTCTTTAGCGATGAATCCAGGTTTACCCTCAGATTCGCGGACGGCAGGCATAGAGTCTGGAGACGACGTCGTGAACGGTATGCCCAATGTTGTGTACAGGAAGTCGACCGATTCGGGGGTGGAAGTTGCATGGTTAGGGGTGCTTTTTGTGGGAACAACTGTTCCCATCTTCTGGTCATCCGTGGAAACCTCACAGCTGCTGCTTACCGCGACCAGGTGCTCACCCCTCAACTCGTTCCTTTCATGGCGGCTCATGGCCCAGGTCTACAGTTCCAGCACGATAATGCTCGGCCGCATACCGCGATGTTGATACGAAATTTCCTTCAAAACGCTGGAATCAACGTCATGGAGTGGCCATCGAGGTCCCCTGACCTTAATCCAATAGAGCACATTTGGGATGCACTTGGGAGAAGGCTTTGTGGTCTTAGGAACCAGCCTTAGAATTTGCAGGAACTTGGCGCTGCTTTGCAAGAGCAATGGCGCAGAATCCCCAACCACGTGTTCACAAACATCAGGCAGTCGATGAGGAGACGGTGTTTGGCAGTGGTGAATGCGCGGGGCGGCCATACACGATATTAAACTGAGAAATTTCGCATTTTTATTCTTGTGACTTGACATTCTGTATACCCATGTTTTGGAACGGCAGTGTAGCCTAATGGAACTAATTATGGCACTGTCAGTGTATCGAGTACATCACACAGATCTCAGCAATGAAATAATGACAATTTAACCATCTTACCATCTCTTGTTCTTTTATAGTGCCCTGAAGAAAGAATGTGAAGTTTCTTTTTTGACTCAGTATATTTCCTCCATGACCGGCGTTTTGTTTGTTTAAATGTACGTCTTGCCCTGGCATTTGTAATTTTAACGGCATTCAGGTTATGCACAGTAGGATGTTGACGGAAGTTTTTTCCGCCTTCTTCCTATTTTTCCTATCAGTTTGTATCAAACCAAGGTTTGCGTATGCGCGGGTTTGCAGAGTACTTAGGAATGGTTTCGTCTCCAATAGTATTTAAGATATCAGAAAATAGTTCCATGGGATCAGGAACATTCCTGAAGTTGTCCGGTGTAAGCTTTTCAGAGCACAGTGTTTGGAATAATGGCCAATTGGCCTTAGTTAAATTCCATCTTGTTGAAGGTGGTTCATCCGCCGGAGTGATAGGAGTAAGAATAGTTGGGAAGTGGTCACTTCCACAAAGGTCATCGTGGACCGACCATTCAAACTCGTTTAAGAGATTAGAATCCGTAAGTGATAGATCAAGTGCAGAGTATGTTCCAGTGGCAGGATGGAAATAGGTGTTTGATCCATCGTTGAAGATGCATAGATCATTATTGGAGAGAATATCTTCAAGGACCTTTCCCTTATTATTTGTATCAGTCCTCCCCCATAGAGGGTTATGGCCGTTCAGATCGCCCATGATTATGCAGGGCTTTGGGAGTTGATTATACAAGTTCTGAATATCTGATAGGTGGACAGTTGAGGAGGGAGGAAGATAGAGTGAACATAGTGTAAACCCTATGCGGACAGCAACAGTTTGTAGGTTGG